AAAAAAGTTATTTCTGTGTTTTTTGTTGATAGTAGTATGAGTTCATTTTTTATTAACATTATAATTTCATTTGATGGATACAATTGCTGTAAAGCTTTTAGTGTACTTAGTGAGTCAGATATTATAATATAATGAGGTGCGGATTTTCTTCTGCAAACTTTCAGTGCCTCTAAAATAGCCATTGCTTCTCCAGTAAATATGCTACAACTCGGAGGGAGTCGTATTTTAAAGTGGTCTGCTCCATGTATGTAAGCCGCTGCTAGTCCTGATTGAGTTTTTGATGCATCAGTGTAGATATGTTCAGAATTTGGATATAGGGATATTATTTCATGGTATGATTGATGTATTACTTTTGGGTTAGTGGATGTTTTGGGATAGCGAGTAAGGGATGTATTTACAATTGGTGGACTAGTTGACCAGGAGGGAAAGTTTTGGGTTGGATTTATGATGGCATTAAACTGCTCACAGTCGTAACCACTGAATTTGATTCTTTCATGAAAAGGGAGTATATTAATCGGTTTATTTTTGTAATTACTAATACATTTAGGTTTGAAAATATTTGAATGCACGGGATTTTGTTGATTTGATGATATACAAGTTGCATAATTTAGTGACAATTGTTGCCTTCGTAAGTGTAAAGGTAGTTCGTGATAATACATTTTATTTTTACATCTACTTAGAAATCATTTAGAAATATTAAAACAAAATATCACTTCTTAGGTGAAAGGAAAAGTTCTTCTTAGAGTACCGTCTCCCTACGGAGGTTAGCAATAATAATGGCTATTTTTATTTTAGAACTTGCTGTTCTAAACAAATCAATCGATCTGCATTGATACCAGTCACGTAGATTTTTCAACCATGAGTTCTGCCTTCGGCCAACAGATCTTCTTCCTTGAATCTTTCCCTGTATTATGAGTCTCAAGATTTCATATTTTGGTCCCCTCATCACGTAGCCTAAGTATTCCAGTTTTTTGGTTTGTATAGTGGTGATTAGTTCTGTTTTTTTACCAACCGTCTCCAGTACTTCTTTATTTGTAATTCTATCAGTCCATGATATTTTCAATCCTCTGCGGTATAACCAGAGTTCGAAAGCCTCGATTCTTTTTAAATTGCATTTTTTGAATGTCCCAAGTCTCAGCTCCATATAATAATATTGAAAATATATAACAGCGAATGGTACGTAGTCTGATCTCCAAATTTAGATATTTGCACGTTAGGAGTTAGATTCATATAAATGCTGATCTGGCAATCTCTTTTCGCCTGTTTATTTCTGCAGTATGATCATTGGTTTCATTGATCAAAGTTCCCAAGTACTGATATTTTTCTACTTGTTTGAACTATGCTTTCATTCCAATATAATGTTTGCACTATATTATGATTTTACTGTTAATGCGCTTGTTCATAAGTATTGATAATAATTTTTCATGTCTTACTTTATCGAAAGCTGTTTCGTAGTCAACAAAGCACAAGTGTAGATCAACGTTTACATCCCGACATCGCTGAATCAATATGTTGATGGCAAATAGTCCTTCTCGAGTACCCATTCCATTTCGAAACCCGAACTGCGTCTCGCTAATATCCTCCTCTAGCCTTTCATATATATTACTTTCAGCAGTACTTTTAAAGTATGACTCATGAGGCTCAGTATTCGATAATCAGAGCACTCTTTTGCTGCTTGTTTTTTAGGGATGGTTATAAATGCTGACTTCAGCCACTCTTGTTGTATTATTCCTGTATCGTACACCGTGGAAATTGAAACGTTAATAAACGTACTTTAACGTTTAATTGTGGCTTATTCCCATTTAAATAGTAATTACTTTAAAATGCCACAAGACAATAGCTTCACAACAATATTAATTATAGATGAAAGCATTGTGCCGTGGAGAGGTCGCCTCTCGTTTCGTCAGTATGTTCCTCTAAAAGCACACAAGTATGGGGTTAAACTTTATAAACTTTGTTTACCTAATGGATACACATGTAACACCAAGGTTTATGCAGGAAAACAAACAGTAACAACAAATAATGAAATTGGCCATGTTCATCAAATTACTATCGATCTACTTGATTGACTTCTAGACCAAGGACGTGTTATCTATGCAGATAATTTTTATAGTAGTTTACCTTTAGTAGAAAATCTTCTGGAACTCAAGACATTTTTTTGCGGTACGCTTCATCGAAACAGAAAGAAATTGACCAAACATTTTTTGAACCTAAAACAAAAACGCGGCAAAGTTTCGGGCGTCAATAATAGATCTGGAGCAAAGATTACAAAATGGACCGATAAAAGACAAGTTTTGATGATGACAACTGTAAAGGATTATAAAGGTAAACTGATTGAAACAGGCAAAAATACTCGTGCTGGAGTTCCAATAAAAAAAACAGATTGCATAATATATAATGCTGAAAAAAAGGATGTAGACATGTCAGACAAGCCAAGGTCCTATTACAGCACATTGAGAAAAACAGGGTGGTATAGTGGGTGGTTAAGTGGTATCGAAAATTAGTTATGGAATTGCTTTTTGGTACAATGATGGTAAATTCATGGGTAATACAGAAAGATTTTTGCCATAATAGAACAAAAATGTCCCTCCTCAAATTTAGACGTAGTAGTATCATCGATGCATTGGTCAATGATGTTCAAATTACTCGGCTTTCCAATACACCTTCCAGAAAAAACACAAATTGACTAGAGCTCCCGGATCTGTCAGAACCAGTCGAAGATGATGCCGACAGTGTTACAAGCAAATTCTTCAAAGTGATGGAAAACTCCAAGCAGATCGAAAAACAAAAAAAGTACCAACCTTTTGTGATACTTGTGAAAACAAACCTTATTTATGTCTAGATTGTTTTAATATTATCCATAATTAATAATAATTTTTATATAATAAGTTATATTTAATAAGTATTTTCAATTTATTTTTGGTTGATTTTCAACAACTGGTGGAAAGGTTCGAACGTAGTTATGAGGTTCGAATCGTTTTATAATGTCCATGTGTCCGCTTCTTGTCGGTCGACGATGATAAATATAATAAAAAGTTGAAGTTGTGGGGTAACAGTGATGGTTTTATTGACAGCTACTAGTAATTACACAATATGATGTTCGTTAGGTAACTACTTATGATAGACTGTGCTCAAATGAGCTCAAATCCCCAAGTTATAATCTTACAAATAATTCATACCTCAGCACAGAGGTTATTGCTTTCTATCATACCATACTTTGAACTATTTGCTTACATTACAATTTAATCTAGGCCTTAATTGCGACACTTGGGAAGTTCAATTAAAAAATATATTATTCGGCAATTTATTTAGTTGTAGGTAAATGAACTAATTAATAAAATATTATACGATATGGTTTACAATGTCTCACTTATTCACGGTGAAACTATAAAAGATTAAGAAGATAAGAATACTGTGAGATTACATATTAATTACTAATTAAGGGGTTAATTTTGTGATTGAACATATTGACCACTATATAAAAAAACAAGCAGACGACCAATAGAAAATATTTAAACACATATAAAATATAAAATAATAATATAACAATAATCATAACACTAATTCACTCGGTTTTTGAAATATTATCTCACCCGAGCAGTACTACCTATAACTTGCTTATTTATAATTCTAAGCTCATTAAGTGAAACTGATCTAGGAGGGGCTTTCGTTAAAGTACTAGTAAATTTGGTTGTGATAAAGTATGTCTTCGAGGCGCTGGATGATGTTGGTTGCAAGAACCTTGATACCTTTGTTTTCTGGCTCTCTCTACTGCAAGTAGATTCCTTGGGACCAACAACGAACGCACAACACCACCTCTTCTTTTTCTAGGTTTGTGACTCTTTAAAATTTCTTCTCTAATTCCAAAAGTCTCGCATATGCTTGCTGTACTGTGTCCCCCTAATAGGCTTGTATTAGAATTGAAGGGTATTTTAACTTCAAATCTTCCTTCGTTATCCCTATTTACGGTTCTTTTATAATATTCTTTACACTCGTTTTCTTCTACTGAAAGAGTATTGTTTTGATCTACTTCTTCTAACTCTATTTTGTGCTCTTCTGTTTTCAGAAATCCTTCTGTTATCATACTGGCACCCACTAAAATTTATTCTGCTTTGTGACCTTCTGTTTTCAGAAATCCTTCTATTATCCCTTTTTTACGATTCTTTTATAATATTCTTCACACCCTTTTTCTTCTACTGAAAGCATGTTAGAATAATGTGAGATTACAAATTAAGGGGTTAATTTGTGATTGAACAACTGGTTTGGTGTATTTTTGTGAAATAATTTATTCTGTATTGAAAAACTGTGCTAACAGTATCAATATTGATATATAATATTACAACTTGCAATTTTTAAAATAGATATATATTTGAAATTTTCGTCATAATTATTTTTTTTATTATACCATTTTCGCGACCCACCGGTGGACCCGCATCGTCTGTAAAAGCTAAAGACCTGTCGACCCATCGGTGGGTCGCTCCGCTGTTACGGACACACTGTTAGCGACCCACCCGTGTACCGCTCCGTCTTGAACGTGTTAATATTTATAAATTACTGCAAAAATAAGAATGTTTTGAAATTATCTCGCTCAATTGTTTATATATTTAAATGTGGAAAGTCGTAAATTAAAGCATTTTTTAAGATCTACAACTTTTATTTTAACCATTTTTCTCTAAAATGTATAAGAAACGTTTTATAGGCAAAAAATGATTGTTTTTTTCACTTTTTATGATTGATTGAATATTAACATTTTTTGATTCTTTAAAAAAACAAAGCAAAATCAGTTGTGCGTCTTTAAGGATTTGTTATTAGCTATCCCTCATTATACTTTTTAGAACTTTCAAAAATCTTTATAAAATTTTTTCATCGTTTTTTTTACTGATATATATATATATATATATATATATATATATATATATATATATATATATATGCATTTAAATTAGAATTATAAGAGAAAGAGTTTAAACAACAAAAGTAAGTTTTGTATTTTGGTGTAGGTCTGGTGGCTATGCCGTACAATGAGCAGCGGGAGTAGCCAAATATGGCGTCGTCGCAGTGGTACAGCATGGATCCGCGCTGGCCTAGTAATCTTCATCTTGGTATTCATATGGATCCAGATGACGTTCCTGAGCTTCGCTGGTTCATCTCCTCAATACTCAGAACTAAACGATAGTAACGCGGCTATTCTGAGTATGGTTCCGGCTGTTTTGCACAAATTTTTATCACCCAGACCAAAAAATCTTTCTACTATTACTTTCGCTAACGGCAGTTTCTCGAAATTTATTTCCACAGACGTTCTAAATATATCTGAGATTAAACGAAATATAGCACAATACAACAGACAACAAATCGTTTACAATGAAAATATATTTGATCCGCTTCAAAATGACTCCATTGTCATACTAGTTCAAATTCACGACAGAATCACCTACTTACGCCATTTAATTGTCAGCTTAGCACAAGCACCTGGTATTTCCCAGACTCTTCTTATTTTCTCTCATGATTACTATGACGAGGAAATGAATAATCTAGTCAAAAGCATTGATTTTTGCAAAGTGATACAAATATTTTATCCCTACTCCATACAAACTCACCCATACGAATTTCCAGGAGAGGATCCCGGAGACTGTCCTAGGAATATTAAGAAAGAGCTGTAAGTATATAAACATAAACTGTTTTATTTATTTTTTATTTTATTTTTATTGATGGCTTTGATTAGGACCAATTAGTCTAACTTTGTTTGATTTATGAAATGAGTGTCATAACTATCTATTGTCCATCAGCAAATTCAAACAAATACCACTTTTATAGTTTATTTTTATGAACGAGAGAGTAATTAGCATAATTTTAACTGGTACCTTCGACCACTCCATGGGCGTGCTCAAGATTAATTGAAAAATTACTTTGAATAATTGTAAAAAATAAATGAATTATTTCAGTGTTATAAAGTGTTATGTGTATGTAAACAAAAGTGACCTCTTTTATCACACACTATATTAGAACTGACTGGCCTACATTAAAAAGGGTTTTAAAAAATTCACATTTTTTTTAATTTTTAAAAATTACAAAAGAGAAAAAGAGTTTTTAAAACCGTCTAAGGTATGTTAAATAGATGAATAAAAATATTAATATAAAACTTACAGCTACTTGTTACAAATCCAAATCAGATTCAGAAGATGGAACTTTCAGAACCAAGATTTATAATAACTGGCTCGATCATTTTATCAGTAATATTGTCCAGCTTCCACATTTTTTCCTCTTCTTTAATAGTGTGATTTACTGCCTTTTCCAGTTTTCAGGTTTTACATTATTTACGGCCTCCAAAAACAACTGTTTAACATCATGAATTTTAAAAGTGGTATTTTTTCTTGAAACTTCACTCTTTATCTGTGCCCATACCAGTTCAATCGGGCTTAATTCACAATGATATGGTGGGGATCTAAGTACTGTCATTCCACGATTTTTGGCAATTTCATCAATTTCGTATTTTTTAAATTTTTCTTTATGAAGGGCACACAACGAATAAAGTTCCTTTCTTATAGATCCGGGATGGTACGTAATATTTTTTGAACTCAGCCAATTCTGCAAGTCTTTTTTTAACCACTTGGTTGTGGGCAGTCCTTCTATAAGTCTGGAGTGATAACTTGCATTATCCATTACTATTACACAGTTCTTAGGAAGAAGATCTATCATTTGTTCGAACCATTCTTGAAAGACATCAGCGTTCATGTCTTCATGGTAGTCACCGGTACGAGTTGATTCAAAAGTTAATAAACCACCTTCAACAAAACCGTCTGAACTGCCAATGTGTACTATTATCAGCCTGCGTCCCTTTCCTGATGGTGGGTTTAAACCAGTAGATAAGTTATTTACAAAAGCGTGCCTTTGACTTGTAACAGTTTCATCCTGCCAAAATTTATTTGGTGTATGACCCTCGTTGATCCATGTTTCATCAAGATAAAATATTTTTCTTTTTTGGTTTCTAATTTCCTTTATGGTTCTTAGAAAATGTCTTCTCCATATGACAATATCGCTTCTTTTTAATAAAATAGACTTTCTGGGATTTTTTTTCCAGCGGAAGCCTATTTCTTTTAAAAGTTTCCATAACGTACTTCGACTCATTTCTGGGTAATCCTTATCATCTCGAACTGAGACAAGAACTTTATCCAATGTTGGAAATTCTTGTCTAAAGAAGAATTCATGCACTTTCCGTCGAAGTCCTTCTTTAAAATTATATTCTATTTGAAATTTTGGTTTCCCTGGAGCATTACGTGGCATTTGAAAACTACCACATTTCTCTTCTTTAATAACTCTGTAAATCGTAGATTTCCCAACACCAAGTGTACTGCTAACTAACTCACCGGTCTCATCAACACTTTCACATAAACGTTTGTCTCTAAATGGTTTAAAACAATTAAATATTAATGTTTTTTCATTAACTGTTAAAGGACCAATTTTTCGACGTTTACACGGCACTTCCAAATTTTCCATAACACTAGTATACACAATAAACTGCACCTTGCAACTGAAGTACCTACTTTTAGTGAACTGTTAAGAATTTTGAATACGCCACTTGGACCTTCCTACAAAATGGAAAAACCCACTATCACATTTTCTGTGGAATAAGTTTAGAAGGTAATTATCTAGTCAATTACTGTCGTAGATTCCTGGAATTAAAGAATTAAATGTTTGATTGTTGAAACCCTTACTTCGTGGAATGCACTCATTTCAGATAAAATAAAACGTTTTATTTTATCTAAAGAATTAAACTTTATTTTGCAAATAGGTAGGTACTTATTAAACTTTTATTGGTTATATATAACCAATAAAATAATCATCTTACAAATTCTTCTTGCAAATTCATTAGTACCTGTTAACCTCCATCACTCCGACACTGGCAACCTTATTTAGGGATTAGTAACCCTCACAAGTATTGTATTCTATTCTGCTCCAACCTTTATACCTGGTGGTTATACTCAATTTAAAATTGTTTTCCTATATATTTCTGTAAACTTGTTGACAAATATCTGTTTTTCATTGAGTCACCCGTATCAACAGTTTAGGGATTTGCATACATAATTTATTGTTTTATTACTCTCTCATACATAAAAATACACTATAGTCCAGACAAATTAAGATTTTTTTACCACCAGATGTTATGAGATTCAAATATAATGTGCAGAATAATTTTGAATTCGGTTTCGCACAAAATTACTTATAGATCGTTTATATTTTCCTATGATTATCTGTTTCTGATAGTTGTTTCTGTTTGGAGAAACAGGTACAGGTACTGGTTTTGGAGTCGGATATGAAAAGTCCAAAGTCATCAAACCGTTTTTGTATTTCGATAAATTCCGTGATAATATTATAGCACATAATTCGCTTTTGATAGATAAAAACAAAAACCCACTAAGACGAGCACAACATAAATAAAAAAATCCGTCAACCTGTCAATAGGGGCATACAATATTAGATCAATGTCCACGGATGACAAAGTACATGAACTGGAAGAACAATTAATAAACATAAAATGGGATATCATAGGCCTATCAGAAACTCGACGAAAAGAAGAAAACCGAATACAGTTAAATCCGGTAATCTACTATATTATAAAGGAAATGAAAAGAATAGTAAATTTGGAGTAGAATCTATAATAAATAAAGCATGTCCAAATTATCAAAGGTATATCAGATCGTGTCGCCTATGTCGTACTTAAAATAAGAAGAACATCAATTAAAATTATCCAGGTATATGCCCCCACGACAGCTTATGATGACGAAGATATCGAAATATTTTATGAAGATATATCAAAGGCTATGGAAGAACATAAAAATCATCTTACACTAGTAATTGGAGATTTCAATGCCAAACTGGGTAGAAAACTAAACAAAGAAGAAACTAAAATAGGAGATTTCGGATATAGTCAGAGAATTGGTAGATGTGTTACTTTGATGAACTACCTAGAAGAAAAGCATATATACGCAATGAAGTACTTTTAAAAAAAGAAGCCCCACCAAAAATTGAATTAACAGGTTATTAACCAATTAAGAAGTCGAAAGAACAAACAGGTTTTAGAAAGAGATTCAGCACGAGTGACCATTTACTAAGTATGAAAATACTTATAGAAAGAGCAAATTAATTCCACATTCCTCTATATATAGCGTTCATCGATTTCGAAAAGGCTTTCGACAGTGTCAAACATTGGGCAGTGAAAAGTTCTTTGATTAACAGCAGAATTGGCCTCAGATATACGGAACTAATAGCCAATATATATAAGGAAGCCAAAACAACAGTTAAAGTATATGAAGGAACAAAATCAATACAAATAAATATAGGCGTGAGACAGGGTGACACAATATCACCGATACTTTTCAATCAGGCTCTGGAAGATATTTTTAAAAGATTCTTGATCCATCTAAGGTACGCTGATGACATCGTATTGATAACCGATAAAAAAGAAGAACTGTTTGAAATGATGAAAGAACTAGACGTAGAAGTTGGAAAGATATGCCTTAATATGAATTACAGCAAGCCCAAAATCATAACAAATACAGAATCAAGTCTCAACCAATCAATATTCAAATTTGTTCTTTACCATTCTCTGCAGAGTTTTTAATAAACATGCTAAAACTATGGGTCCATATGAGTTTAGATTATAGGTATATATAGGTATATTCTCTCCAAATTATTGAAAAACGGATTTTGTTTGTCCAAATCGAATTGAATGATTCTAATGGAGAGTGAGCTAAGGGCATTTTATGTAACATACTATATGAGATATTACCCATACCAGGAGATTTATTGTTTGTTAATTTAAAGCATTGTTTAAGTTCCCCTAAGTGAAATACCGATGATAAAATGGAAATATGTTTGTTTACTGTGATTATTTGGTGAGTAATGTCGTTTTTTCTATTTGTGCGAATGAGATTTTAATGTAAAATTTTCTTATTCAGGATTTATTAGGGGCCTGTTTGCTTGTTTTCGATTTTTTATATCAGTTTACTTTATTCTACACTTCTTTCACTAGGGTGTGCTGATTTAGATTTTTGACAGTAATTATTCCAGCTGCTTCTTTGGGTTATTTTAAAGTTGTGTTGCTACTCCGTCAAGTGTTTTATATTCTGTCAAGTTAATGAGTTTTGGGGTGTATGTAACATAAAAAAGCTTGTTTCCTTGCTTTAGCAGCTATATTACACGTTTCATTCAACCACTCTTTTGAACAGTTATTACGTTTTTGAGAGTTTGAAGAGCATAAAAGAGTTTTTTTAGTTGCAGCTTTGTCGATAATACCCATTAATGATGTTTTTAGTTCTTTAGCTTCTAATATAGAAGTGTAAAGGTCCTAAATCGCATCCTTGAGTTTCCAGATAGTATGGTTTAATTGTTAAATTTGTGCAGGTGAAACGTTATTTCTAAATTGGATATGTATTGGTAGGTGGTTAGATCCTTGAGGTAATTCTATAGTCAACCACGTCATTAGCTGTTCTAAATCATGAGTGCTCATAGTCAAGTCTATAGCTGATTTGTTACTGGTCACTAATGTAGGGGATTTGTGATTTTAAATTATCAAATTACAGTGTTTTAATTATAAGTTTTTTAAATGTTTTAAGTTTCGAGACTTTTGATTTCTGTTGCTTTTAAAATTGTCTACCTTTTGGTGTTATTAATCTAGAACCCCGTTGTGTATGCTTGAGATTACAATCACCAGTCACAATAAATATGTTGCCAAGTGTAGTAAACAGCTGCTCATATCGTTTGCTGGTTATTTAGTGCCTTGGAGGGCTATATATTGCAGAAACTGTCAGTACCCTTGATCTGAAATCTGCAATGCTACTGTTAGCTTTGTTGCACCTACTTTACTCTTGAGATATTTCCACAGAAACAATTTAAAGGGTATTTTGTGATCTAGCAGGTCTCTTAAAAGTACTTCGCCCAATTCATATATTGAGAAATGTGTCGTTTAAACAATCTTTCAGCATAAAGCTCCAATCTACATTTCTATATAAGTTACCAAAAAAATCTGACTTCGTCTGTAATCATATTAATATTTTTTGGCTGTCAAATGTTTTTCTATAAAAATCTGAACCATTATACAGGGTGAGTCACCACTAACGAGACGGAAGATTAGATCGAAACGGTAAAAGATTTAAAAAAAAATCAATTTATAGTTTGAAGATTGATAAGGGCTACATTTTAAAATTATTTTGAAATATACAAGGCGTCCCAATAAAGTGCGGAGTATCAGTTATATTTTTTCTTATGGGACACCCTATATTTTATTGCATTTTCTAATTGTCGGCAAAAAATAAGGTATAGTTTCATGAGACTTCCCTATACCAATGTACAGAGTATTTTGAGTTATGTGCAATATTCTTAAAATGTAAAGCTTTAAACGAAGACTCATTCCTAACTTATTTAAGACATTCTAATAAAATTGGTTATACCTCTAAATAGTTGGATATTGGTTGAATGTATTTTATGATTAATTATTAAACATTTTTTTACAGGGTGTTTAAAATTTGCAGTTTTATTATTGGATGATTCAATGTCTAATATAAGGCTTATTTTAAATGGATCACCCTGTATATTAATGAATTATTATATTAAAAAAATTTTCAACTTTCGAATGGTATATGGATGTCCTATAACTAGGAGTAATAGATTTTGCGTAATTTAAAATTTTCTTTTGGATTTCAAAATATTTATAGTTGTTACTCTCGATTTTTAAACCCATCATTTTGACATATTTGTTATAAATGAAACCAATGTAGTTGTAAACAAATGTGTATACTTTATACTTTTACTTGCTGATACACAACGAATCAGAAAGAATTTTAATAAAACAAATAATACAAAATGAACAAAAAACAAAATAAACCACAACTTACTATATTATGAGCAAACAAAAATTTTTAAAGAAGACTCATTCTCGAGTTATTTAAGCAATTATAACGAAATAATATTTTCTCTTACAGCGAAATAGTTGGGTAATGGTTAAATGTATTCCTTTATTGATTATTAAACATTTATTTACAGGGTGTTAAAAACTTAGTTTCAATTTTGGATTATTCAATATCTAATATGAGATTTGTTTTAAATGGAACAACATGGATATTAATTAATCGTAATACTAAAAAAAGTTTTCTTTTTTGAATGGTATAAAGATGTCTTATACTTAAGTCTCATAGTTTTTGCGTAATTTACAATTATTTAAACTCTTAATCGGTATATTGATTTAAAAAAAAAGATATAGTTAGTTAATATCATTGTATGACATTGTCATTTTCTGACATTACGGTCGCGTAATTGTCAAAATATAAACATTCGTGTGTAATATTTAACTTTCATTGTTCCTAAAAATGAAAAATTACACTATTCATGAAAGAGTCGACATGGTACTTTGCATTGGAGAATGTTTGGAAAATTGTCTCTTAGCTTCTAAAGTTTATGCTCAAAAGTATCCTGATAGAAGACACCCACAAAAGGAAGTTTTTGAAAGATTTCTGAATAGGTTCCGTGCTACTGGTAATGTTCCATACGAAAAAGTAAATAATAATAAACCAGTTATTGGTGACAACGTTAACGAACTTAATGTCCTGCTTTCTGTTACGGAAAACCCAAATATTAGTACAAGAAAAATTTCGGGTGAATTAGAAATTAGTCAAACTAGTGTATGTAGAATACTTAAGACCAACCACTTTCATCCGTATCACATTAAAGTTCACCAGCATTTGACAGAACCAGATTATGGTAACCGTTTAAATTTTTGTTTATGGACTTTAGATAAAGTTGGAGAAGATCCTGATTTTTTTTAAAATGTATTATTTACAGACGAATCGACTTTTCATTCATAATAATGGTCTAGTAAATAGACATGATTTTCATTTTTATGACACAGAAAATAAACATTTATTTCGTACTGTTGATCGCCAACACCGATGGAGTGTTAATGTTTGGGGCGGCATTATGAGCGAGTACATTATCGGCCCGTATTTTTTGACGGACATCTCAATGGGACAAATTCCTTAAATTTTTTAAAACAAAAGTTTTGGACACTGCTTGAAAACCTTCCACTTAGTCTTCGAACAAAAATGTGGCTCCAGCTGAACGGAGCTCCTGCTCAATTCTCATGTGATGTTAGGAACTACCTTAACAGAAGACTTACAAACAGATGGATACGTAGAGGTGGTTCATACAATTGGCCCCCTAGATCACCAGGACTAACCAAGATAGATTTTTTTAATGGGGTTATACTAAAAATATTGTATATGCTACACCTCCTACTATTAGAGATGACATGAAATAAAGAATTACAAACGCGTTTACTTCAATAACTCCTGCTATGTTAAATAATGTAAATAAATCATTCGAAGATAAAATCGCTTGTTGTATTGCACAAGATGGCAAGCAATTTGAACATCTGTTACATACCTGAACATTTTTTATTTACAGTAAGTTTTGGGTTATTTTGTATTATTTAAGTTCATTATTCATTTTGTATTATTTATTTTATTAAAATTATTTCTGTTTCGTTATGTATATAATTGTTTAAAAAAAAAGAGTGTGTGCTCGTAATATCTACGTTATTTTTAAAAACTATAACCTCTGCGCAATTGCCTTTCACTTGATGAATCGTAGAAAATCTAAAACACATCAGATTTTCAACAATTTTTTTTTATTTTCTTTTCATCATATTTTAATACTAATTATCCTATTCCCAACGAATACAAATCCAAAGACATAAAAATTTTAATTTATTTACAAAAAATGTATTTACAACTACACTAATTTCGTTTATAACAATATGTCAATATGATGGGTTTAAAAATCGAAAGTAACAATTATAAATATTTGATATCGATTTCCGTTTAACAAAATTTTAAATTACGTCAAAACTATCAGTCCTAGTTATAGGACATCCGTTTATTATTCGAAATAGAATTTTTTATAATTCATTAATATACAGGGTGTTTCATTTAAAATAAGCCTTATATTACATATTGAATAATCCAATAATGAAACCACAAATTTTGAACACCCTGTAAATAAATGTTTAATAATTAATCATGAAATACGTTTGACCAATATCCAGCTATTTAGATGTATGAGTAATTTTAAGAAAATTCGACATAACTCAACACTCTGTACATAGGTATAGGGAAGTCTTATGAAACTATACCTTATTTTGTGCAGACAATTAGAAAATCCAATAAAATACAGGATGTTCCATAGGAAAAAATGTAACTTTGAAACACCGCGCTTTATTGTGACACCCTGTATATTTCAGAATAATTTTAAAATGTAGCCTTTATCAACCTACATACTATACATTTAAAAAAATTTCAAAACCTTTTACCGTTTCGCTGTAATCTTCCGTCTCGTTAGTGGTGACTCACCCTGTATATGATACCCACTTATAGGCTAATTTTTAGGATATTGAATGTGTCTCAAGCATCCAATAAGGGTTCTCTGCTGATCAATTTCTACAATTTTCCCCCCTTTAATGTAAAAGTTGACTCATCTGAGGAGAGAATTATTCCTAAAGCTATGTTATGACTGATTTTCTTCTGTTAAGTCATGAATAAAAGTTATTTTATATGGATAAAGTTTCTCTTTATGAATACACCTTAGAACAGTTGTATTGATGGCGTTATTTTCACTGCAACCTGAGAGACTTATCCAAAATTAGAACTCATATAATTGATAGTACTAGATCATATCTATATAAATTGAAAATGTCAAAGCTTTTACTAACATTTTATTAACGTTTATAGAGCTTTAAGAAAAAAATGTAATAATGCACTTTACCCAGACGTCTATGGGCATTATAGAGAAGCAAAATTTACTCAAACAAAACACCATTGGTGGTGGAAAGCGAATAGGGTATTTAGTGACCTGGAGATTACCAGAAATCACACCGGTCTGGTAGTTTTACTCGAAGAGGATCACTATGTTGCTGAAGACTTTATCCATTTGTTGCGATTAATGGAACGGACCTACAAAGAATCTTGTAAACATTGTAATATATTGTCTTTGGGAACATACTTGAAAACATACAACTACTATGCCGATTCGAAAAAGGTATGTACTTTATAACAGTCATTAACTGTATTAACAATTTATTTATTTTCTTTTCACTGTTTTATTTAAAAATATATTTTTATATTCGTACTTTGTATGGTGCCCCTGTAAAAATGGATCTGTATAAGTAATTAGAATGAAGATATTAGTTGTGAGCAGTTTAAGTATCTTACTATAAATCACAGGTGACTGTATTTTATTATTTCATTTGCCTCATTATTCTATTATTCTCTCAAGTTTCATAGAAATAGGAAACGATTCTAGTTTAAAACAAAATAACTCCAAACATTTAGACTTACTATATAAACCAATTAAGATAGTTTTTTATTCGACACAAGTGTATAGACCGGTTTGGAAAAAATAAAAATTTTGATTGTTTATTTAAAAATAAAAAAATATGAATCTCTAGACGAGAGTCCTTTTGTTCTATCTCATAAAGTCATAATCCACATTTTAACTGTCAAACCCATATATATCGTCGGTTTACTGCCAAAACCAGATAAGTTACATGTTGTTAGTTTTGTGAAAATTAAGTTTAAAAGTTAAAGCCTACAATAAAACAACTACATGAAAGGAAACATTTAATAACCGATAAAATAACAGAGATTGTGGTACTGCAAAGATAATTAACGCCAAAAATCAGAAAGAAAATTAGAAAGGTAAAAAATCTGTACTTAATCTATTTTGCCTGAACTGATTGGCGTAATTTGAAACTTGTCTTAAAACAGCTTTAACTTAAATGTCAACTTCAGGATCACTATGTTCAAGTGCTAGTTTAAGAATATTGTCTTAAACATCGTCGAAGGATGGTAAATTATAATATGAGTGAAATTCATCTGGAATCACACCCGATTTGCACAACTTCAATAAATCTTGTTTGTTTTGGAACTTATAGGTCGCATCTTAGTATACGCATCCTTTAGTGTTATTTCTTTCGAATTAGGTATTTTTCGACTTTTCTCAAAACCGTTTATCTCTTTTCTATTCTGAGGTATGATCATACTTATACTCAAGGATTCCTGGTTTAGCCTTTTGGTATCGAAAACACTTAACTTTTAACCAGTTTACCTTTTCGTTTTTCATGTCTCTCGTTTTATTTTTAATAAGCTCAGAAAGGCCTTCTAAGTCAAGAAAATCTTTATATTTGAGTTCTGCAAGTTGAGATTTTTTTTAACTAAATAGAGTAACAAAGCAACATTTTGGTTTCTGTTTTGTCTACTGCAAGTGTCGGAAAACACTTATAATGCATTTGAAGCTGATTAATAGAAGTAAAGAGGCAGGTGCCAATTTCTAAGCTACCCCATTTTCCAGGAAGCTCTGTCCAGCTATAATAAAACGCATTATTAGTCGGTGCTAGCTCATACACTGTCAAATTATAAGTGCAAATTTTTCGACTGTAGTACATTGGACTCACGTCGCTACTCACGTATTTGAAGCACACATTGCAAGTTAAATGCACATACAAAATTGACCTCATTCATAGCTCTAGATTTGTCTCTTGCTTTTGCTGTGTAGCAATCCTCTTTTCGAGCTACGTGTTCTTCATATTGCGTCTGCCATTGCTTTTTCTTTTCTTCATCATTAGTCTTGTATTGTGTGCAGAGCTCGCATTGATCTTTCTTTGGAGTGAAGAAAGAATAGTTGTAATTATTATAAAAAATGCGTCTATAAGTGATTGAAGATACAGGTGAGGTACCATCATGTTCACATAATTGTTTATACATTGAGTACATTTTATTTATACTCAATTTACAATCTAGATATTTTCGTTTGGTAGAACTTCTCGTATAGTGGGACTCCAGTACAGGTACTCTTCTTTCTTCTGAAATTGTAGCACTGCAATTGAATCTACATTTTGTACAACCCATAATCTTTGGTGCTTTAGTTTCAAATCGTCTTTTTTTGGCGACATTCTTTTTCCAGTTTTCAGGCCGGGACTTCTTCCAGCGGTTTATTACTTTGTCACCAGTCATTGTCCAAAATTTTCGTTATCGGAAGAATCTAAAATAAAAAAATCGCGTTTTGTTTCTGCCTTTATTTTTTTTTAAAGAAGACGTTCAACCCTTTAACGCTCACACTGTTTTCTAATAGCGGAATGTTTAGTGGCTAAATAAGTAGCCATCCATGTTAAGGTTGAAATCGACTTTGATAATTGTCCGAAAATCAACTCTATTAGCAATGACAGTATGCTTAAACGTTTGGAGTCCACATATTTATGGAGTCCACTTATTTAACCACATTTTTTCCACGTGCCTACATCGTGATTTGTAAATGATGTTGAAGAAAATGTTGTTATTATTATAAAATAATATGAGCATTCAGAGCATTTCTAGTGGCTAAAAATGTAGCTACTAAGCGTTAGAGGGTTAAAAAGATCACGATTATTAATAATTAAATTGAATACATACTAGTATCAGATTTATGTTCTGCAGCAGGTGACTCTGGAACATAATCTTTATCTTTGAGCGAACAGTCTGAACCTTCAACAAACTCTAGCATCTCAGCGGCCGACTGCTCCTGATCCAAATTTAATTCAGACGACAATTCGGGTGTAATATTATCAAAAAAAAAATGTAGGCGAATGCTCTTTAGACGGGCCTGGCTTAGCGTGCGTTCATAACGAGGCGCCTACCCTCGATCGGACCATAGGATGGTATGATTATTATCATCGCCACGTAAACTAAATGCATTATTTTAAATGCGAGCGTTCACTGTCAGTGTTATGCTCTTGGCGAGGATACGATGCCATGGTCTCCGTAATGAACGCACCCTTACTCTCTTCAAACAGGGCGCCGTTACCGTTATTCGCAACGTTTTCTCTTAATTGTATTTAGCAATTCACTACTTTAGACAGTTAAACTTCTCGCTATAATAAAAAAATATTGTTTATGATACTAAAAACATGCAAATCGAATCAAATAGTAAATTGTATCCGTGTAATTTTGCACACGTACACGTGTGCAAAATTGCAAAATTTTAGCCAGATACGATAAATATTTAAAAAAACGACTTCTTACATTAAATTTTATTACACACATACGTACATACATACCAACATTCAAGTGAAGCTAATAAAAAAAAAAGATTTACGATCGTTTTTGCTTATACAAATAAATATACTAACCTTGTTATTGATTCAGTGCCATCTTAAGCATCAGTGCACTGCGCAAGGACATGGTTCTCACTAATTTCTAAACTTACAATACCGTTATGACCACTTTATTGTTATTTTAGAACTTAAAAAGCACTTTCTTCAAGTATAACACAATTCTTTTCAGGCACCAATATGCATACAAAGTACACTAGTATTTAAGGTTATGTTTATAATGTTTACAGAGCCCTCTGCGATGAAATAACATTGCAGCAAAAACAAGTTAAGTGTCGTTTTAATTAGTTTGGCGGTGCAAGTTTTCGTCAGATAATTCACGTAAAAAAGTTAGATGACACTTATTTGAATAATAATTGATGGAGTCCACCGTTACTTGATGGAAATTCATTTTATGTAACAATAAAACACTCAAAAATTTGTTTTCAAACTTCCACAAAATTTATTTTAAATCTTATCACTACAGCTGTTTCGGCTAATTGCCTTTCTCAAGTGATCTATTTTTGGCTTGGGTTTACAAATTTATAGTCTCTAATGAAATAGGTTGAGAAGGGGAGAACTGTTTGTCTCAAGTTGGTCATTCAGAATTATATCTGTGTTTTTTAATTTGTTGATTTCCATAGATTCTAACAAAGATAGCTTAAGGCCTTTATTCTAAGTCATTCTTTTTCTTTTAATGACAAATTTAAAATTCTTCGCATTCAAAATAAAGGCCTTAAGCTATCTTTGTTAGAATCTATGGAAATCAACAAATTAAAAAACACAGATATAATTCTGAATGACCAACTTGAGACAAACAGTTCTCCCCTCCTCAACATATTTCATTAAAGACTATAAATTTGTAAACCCAAGCCAAAAATAGATCACTTGAGAAAGGCAATTAGCCGAAACAGCTGTAGTGATAAGATTTACAATAAATTTTGTGGAAGTTTGAAAACAAAGTTTTCAGTGTTTTATTGAGACTTATTTGGTTTTGCTACTATACTTCAACAGCAAAAATAAGTTAAATGCCATCTAACCTAGTTTTTCTACATCTAATGTTTTTCTAGAAGAATTAATCTTCTTTTTGCATATGAAATTTGTACTTTTCGTTAAATGTGCACTTAACTTCTTTCAGTTGTACAGTTTTGACCAAAATGAATAATTGCCAAAACAAGCCTACATAATTTACCTCTTTTCCATTATCCGACACTTATCTGTTTTACGCAGTACATTTATATACGGATTTTGATTACGAAAATGCACTTAACTCAAACATGGTAAAAAATGAACTTATCTGGTTTTGGCAGTAAACCGACGATATAAACGTATAATATGACCTAAAAAGGCTTATTTTTACATAAGCCTCTTTACATAAAATAATTGGTTTAATAGTTGAGTATCTAAATTTTAGACACTAAATTCTTAGAAATGATAATTGAGTTTTAACAACAACACTGTTGCCAGGTTTTCATTATAGATAATGGTATTAATAGTTCACTACAGTCAAATAGTCAAAGAATAACGGACTTATCAAAATATCTCATAAAACATGACAACGCTAACCAGTAAAAAAGAAGTGTGATTTGAGAAAGGCACTCTGTCGAAACAGCTGTAGTGAAAATAAATTCCGTGGAACTATAGAAAACAAAAGTTTTTAGTGTTTTATTCGTAGATATCATAAGTATTTTTTGGAACGCCACTGCTTTGCAAGGTTAGGCAGAAATTCTCGCCACTTCATTTGAAAATAGCTATACCTCTATTTTTGAAACAATTTTGTACCACATGTATTCTAAAACATAACCAACGCCAACGTTTTAGATAAATTTTGTATTAAACGTATATAAATTTTAGATATATTCTTATTCTAGGTAGAAATATCACCATGGATTAGCAGTAAACATAACATGGGAATGGCTTTTAACAGATCAACTTGGATGCAGATTGTAGATTGTGCATCACATTTTTGTAAATATGACGACTACAATTGGGATTGGTCGTTACAACATGTATCTCAAAACTGTTTGAAGGATAAACTGCATGCAATGGTAGCTCGTGCCCCCAGGGTTTTCCATATCGGCGAATGGTAAATATAAAGCTTCCTAAAAACTAGTACATTAATATTTTTGCTGTTATTTTTACATACATATTTTGCGCCTGAGATTGACTGTCCAGTCCAGTCATTTTAACTCAATTCCCTCGTTACCATTGCTTCTTGGACCTCGACATTAGAAGTCCTCGTTTCTTCTTTTCAACGGGACTCAACTTCCATACTCTTTTAGGGGCATCTACTCTCTTCAATTCTCTGGAGGTCTCCATACCACATCTTGCATGACAAAACTCAAGGCTTGGCACTGCTATAGCGGAGTTACTGGTACAGAATAATACCATAATATGAACCAAAAATTTGCAATTAAGAGACAAAGTTAATTGTTAAAATAAAAAGAAAATAATTAGAAAGTAACAAAATCTATCGTTTCGTTTTTGAGTCCATAATTTTTTCAATATATTCATACATTTAATCCATAGAGGTCTGATTTTACTGTGGGAGTTCAAACAATTAGTTCAATCTTATTCTGGTTATAAAATCAACTGGCATACTGGTTATAGTTTTATTTATTTTAAAAAGTGTCATATCTAGTACTCTGTCGGTATTATAAATGGATCAACACTCTTGTAAAATACGAACTCGCTTCTTAAACAGCAGCTATGGTAATAAACAATATTAAACTGAGTATATTGTTTCTCTCCAATGGCGCTACAGCCCAAGTCGAGCCTTGGCTGCCTTCAACCCTGCAGGTCCCGCGCCCATCTTCTTCAGGTTCTCGCGTCTAGCAAATTTTGCGCATTGTTCTTTGAATTTCTGGTTCTTCTGTTCTATCAGTGTTTAATGCAACTTCCAGGTATGTGAACTAATTCAACTGTGCGTCTGTTACCCTAGCTCTTGCCTGTGTTAGTTTATTTTATCTTTTGAATATTTATTTCGAGTCCAATCTCTTCTACCCAAGATTTTAATTGTGAATATATGTCTCTCGCCTCTTCTGTTCTACGAGACATAATGCTAATGCCATTGGCACGGGCGCAATCTGTATCGATTTATGTCCTAGGAGATTACATCTTCCTATATTCAAGATTACATCTTCCTATATTCAGCTGTCTTATCACATATTCGAGTCAGGTTGAATAGTGTCGGTGCCAGCCCCTCTCCTTGCTTTAACCCTTTGACTATTAAAAAGTTCTCAGTGAGCTCATTTTGAACTCTGACAGTTGATGTTGATGAGTCCATTGTTGCTTTTGCTAGGCTGATGTATTTTTGGGGGATGTTAAAGCCATGCAGTGTTTGATATAACTTTTGTCTATTGAGCCGTAGGCCTGTTTAAAATCTATGAATATGTTGTTGACGTCAATGTCGTATTCCTACGAATTGTTTAGAATTTGTTTCACTGTGAATAGCTGATCAGTTGTATATTTTCCTTGTCGGAAACCATTTTGATATTCCACGACAATATTTTCAGTTAGTTGTTGGAAGTCCTGGTTTTCCACTCGCTAGGAATCTTTTCATCATTCCAAATCTTGTTCATAAGCATATGCATTTGTCTTATTAGGTGTTCGCCACCTAATTTATATAACTCAGAGGATACGTTGTCAATACCTGGAGCCTTGTTATTCTTTTGTGTTCGTATTGCTTGTTTTACCTTTTCCATCGTCGGGGGTTCTATATTTTCGGTTTTTCCCTCAATGTGATGCATGTCCATATGCTCTTCATTTCTTGCGTCTCTAGGAGAGTTTGAAATAAGTTTTCCAGACTGATTTTGTTTCTTTTTAATTGCTGGTTATTTGCCTTTCTTGATTTCTGCATAGATTTGTTCGGGGTGTGTACCCTTCTCTTAAATTAGTGTTAAGTATTGTTCTTAGAATTATATTATTACAGTGGAACATCAAAAAACCGAACTCTGAAGATCTGAAATTTTGAATAATCCTAACATCAAACAAAACAAAAGAGAGTTGTGTTTATTATTATAAGAAGAGAAACATTTTAAGTTATACATAGTACAGTACAGGTATATTAATATAGAAAAGATTGAATGACCTAGCTGTTGCAAAAGCAGATCAAAATAAAATGGCTTAGATGACGTCTTTACTAATACATCTGTAAATGGTGTTTTCAATGAGAACTAACGCTTTGTAAAGAATCTTACCATTTTCGAGATTATTGATGACCATTTGAGTCAGTTCAAAAATTGCTATTTCCGAAGAGCCGTTTGGCACGAAATAATATTAATATCATCATATTCTTTTTAATGTTTACACATTATTAGTCAAAAGTTTAGCTGGACATTTTTAGTGTATACTGTCATAGCAGCTGATCCTTGACTCACTCCACGCCAAGGTCACTCACTATTTACAATACTCTTCTTTTTCGCAAAATCATTACATGTATCGTATTTATTCTGACAGAATAACGATAATCAAAAATATATATTTTTGGTATCTATTTTTGATTTAATTTCTTGATTTTCGGTTGTAATTTACATAGTTTACTAATTGATTGCTTGTAAAAAAAGTAGTTTTTCAGAGTTCATTAAAAGTAATGAAAATGAACAGTTTTACATTGATCTGCTTTTCTTTAAAACCAGTGAAAGTTTCAAGCCAAGGACTTAGCACAGTATATATACAGTATACAGGGTGTTTCACGACGAGCTTACGCTATCTATATATCATATCGGAAACTACTTATACGACATTTATGAAAATTTCTTTATGTGGATTACAAGTTATGACGAGCTTGAAGAAAATATTTTGACCAACATGCCACTTCTGGTTTGTCTCATTATACAAAATTTGTATATTATGTAATGGATCTGCTTGGAAAATGTCCCTGATAAAATTTTTATATACCTCTGTTGATTAGGTGTGACTTGCCTACCATTTTCTTCGATAAAGTACGGACCAATGATTCCGGGTCCTCACTTTAGCACTATGTAAAGGAACTTCTTAAACTTCATCTGGTTTGGCTAAGCCCCGAAAACTATTTATGCGACGATTTACATGGCCTGAAAAATGAAAATATGCTTCGTCTGAAAACCATACATTTTTCAAAAATTCAGGATTTTCATAAAATAACGCAAGAATTCTGGCGCAATATTCCACTCTACTGCAATAATTCCGAGGATGTAATTGTTGATTTACCTGAATCACATACGAAAATACACCCTCAATTACTGCATCCTACACAAAATTCAAACAGCTTTAATGTATTGGATTGCAATGCTATTATTTAACTGTTTTTAATATACAATATATTAAAGACACAATCCCTTCTATATTAACTTTTAAATACAGTGTAGGTAAAAGCTTATGGTCGGTATGGACCGTACGTGAGATGGAGTGAGAAACACCTGTTTAAAAACAGAGAGGTATATTAGGTCCGCCCTTTATATCGCCGAAGTTGAAATAATAAAAAAGGGGAAATTCAACCTTGCCAAACTTATTGGTTTTATTTGACCTGTTGTTTTTTTAGCATTTGAACAATGTTCTAAGATAATCAAATTTGGGCGAAATGGATTTAAATGGCAGCTTACTGTTTTTTATTAGGTACAACATATTTTTATATTAAAGAACAAGAAGATTGTACTATTGAAAATCAACCAGTACAAGAAATATATCATGTATATAACCTTTAAGATACCTACTTATGAACATTCCATATGGCACCTGGTAAAAATATTGGCAGGTTTAATTTATTTGACATATGTATTTAAAAAATATATAGGTACATATCTTAAAGTACATACCGGGTGGTGAATCGTCAAACGGGCCATTGAGGAAACTCAATGAGAAATTTTAAATTGTTGAATTGCTGCTTCCCTAATTATTTTAGATCAAAAGTCATAAAAAACTATTTGTAGATGACTAAAATCTGAATTAAAAACAAATGTTAAAACCGTTCTACGAATCAAATGTACTTCAAAATTTTGAAAAAATGTGATACATTTTTCAGACCACCCCTAAAAGTTAGGCCAAACGTAATGCAAGAATATATATTAGGACGTTTGTGTTTTATCATATTAATGTCAGATGTTTGACAATTTGAATTGTCAATTTTTTTATTTTATAATTAAATTATAAACAATGAATTTTACTAAATACTACTACTACTGAACATTATTACTTTGTGAACAATAAATTATATTGTTTACAAATCGATCAATATAATGAAATGTACCTACTCAGTTGACGAAAAATCGCATAATGTTGTATTCAGGCAATAGCGCAATGAATTCCAATATACTGTTACTATGATCTTTATTCCTAATAATAATATATGATTATTTCTAAACATAAAACTATAACAAATGTTATAATAAAACATGAATAAAACATTTTTATTATTGCTTTTTTCTCCTCAACTGAGTACATATTTTAATCAACTTAATTTTTTTTAAACAATAAATCACAAAATTTTGGCCATTTGAATCATAGATAAATATAATATAATTGATTTAAATATTGTCAAATATCAGAAACAATAATATGACAAAACGCAACACGTAATACACATTTTTTCACAGAAAAATGTATTATATTTTAGCAAAATTTTGGAATACGTTTAAGTCGTAGAATAATTTTAACAGTTGTTTTCGATACATATTTGAGTCATCTACAAATAGTTTCCCATGACTTTTGGTGTAAAATAATTAGGGAAGCAGGAATTCAACAATTTAGAATTTACCATTGAGTTTCCTATGGCCCGTTTGCCGATTCACCACCCTTTGTTATACATTTGTAAACACCGTTTGTATATACATTATTAAAAAAAGTTACGATAATGTCATAAGGAGACACACAAAAAGTGATCTATTCATTAACCGCTCTGTATCCTAAAATAAGTTAATTAAAACTATAACATGCAATATATAAAGTACTGGGAATTTTGTGCAGAATCCACAAATTTTATAATATAACCAATGTTTCATTTAAAATAAGAAAGTTGGTATCATAGTAACTAATCACCAGTCAACATCCTGTACATAAAATAACAAATTTTTGTTGGAAAAATGTGCAAAAGATTTTAGTTCAGTGCATGATGATGACGACCTTTAATTTTGATTTGCTATTATTTACTATTAATTTTAGAGTTTTTCTTATAATTTACACATTGTTAAATCTACACAGTCCATCATCAGGTTATTAAAATCGAAAATGCTAGGTCATAATGCCTGAGCCACCAAAATATTAGGGTAAAAACCCTTTAAATTACATTTAGTTAGGAACAGTTCCACGTTGTTCTCCGAGTGCAGAGGTTGTCTCTCACCCGGCTCTGGAACCCATTTGAGCCATGTGTTACCTTTGGTCAAATTTAATTTAATATAGAACATCACAGTTATTTTATAACACAATGTACAACATTTCATAACTAAATGTAATTTAAAGGGTTTTTACCCTAATATTTTGGTGGCTCAGGCATTATGACCTAGCATTTTCGATTTTAATAACCTGATGATGGACTGTGTAGTCCGAAAACGTTTGTTCTATTGATATGGCCCTTTTAAGGGTTTTTTAAATAAATATACCCATTTACAAAGATTAACCTCTTTTTGTTATACGTGGTATACAGCCAGCTACAGGAATTTTTCCTTGTGGATTTTGTTAATTTATAAAAAAATGTTCGCAACCAACAATACACATAAACCCCATTGACACATTCAGAAATGCATACAAATAAACTGCGCAAGTCTGCACCGAGTAGTGGGTCAGGCTCTAGACATAAAGTGTTAATTTCGACGTTTCGATATGATAACGCGCACAAAGAGACACCTATGTTTCAGTTTCAGTACTGTTTATTTCACGATATACTAAGTAGTTTTATCATAATATTAGAATTCAAATAAATTTAATAACATTCATGACATCCAAACTTAAATCACTTTGTGCCACTACACAACATTATATACTAAAGTATTAATTATTTCAGTGGTGTCCATCACAAGAAGAAAGACTGTCAGGCTACGGCAATGATATCAAAAGTTCAGCAGGTCCTCAAAAATGCAAAGAAACATTTCTACCCAGATTATTTAATATTAACGTACTCCACGGCACTGAAAAAAACGAAACTTCGAAAGGGTAATGGCGGATGGGGTGATAGAAGAGATCATAAGCTGTGTATCGGTATGACTATAGGTGGATAGCTGATTTTATTTTTGTTATAAATTAATTAAATTATGAAATGTTATAAATTGTTATTTTTTATTTATATTTATTCGTATCGAATTTTTGAATATTTACTGTTTTTTTGTTGCCAGTATCTCTGCATATTATTAAGATATTTGTACTTGTGTAAAATATACAATCAAGATGTGGAAAATATTTTTTTTATATTAACCTAATATGAACCGTCCGTAAATCCGTGTCCGTAAGGTTTTACCAAATAAGCACCCGTGGATCAACTGAGGACATGGTATAGGGTAGCAGCTATGACATTACTTCATTCACCTGATTATATTCCCGTGACTACACCATCATGAATGCATCAAATCAGTTAGATATGCTTAGCGATCGGCGCTCAGTTAGTTCCGGACCAACTAGTGCTAAATGGTCTACCGGGCATGTTTTTGTGAGCAACCAGGGCAACACATACGAAATTGGCGCCTGGAAGAAAATCAGATTTTCAGTTAAGAAAATCAATGGGAATGGCAACCTGGAATGTTCGAGGATTATTGCAACCAGGCAAACTGCATATACTACAACGAGAAGTCGAAAGAGAGGATATAGAAATATGCGGACTTTCTGAGACCCATTGGAAAGGGCAAGGACACTTCCGAACGGCAGATCATGTTGTATACATATCGGAAGCAAATAGCACAGGAAGAAATTGTGTTGCAATTATACGTATATGATTACCAACCGATAAATGATAGATTATATAACCTTACTTAGATTACCTATATTACCAAATAAAATGCACATTCTTCAGGTCTATATGCCCACCTAACACGCGTTAGACAATAAAATGGAAGACGTATACTCCGTTATTGAAGACACAATAAGAAATATTTCGTATATAGAACCTTTCATGGGCGATTTTAACGCTAAGGTAGGAGAAATAAGAAATGATAACATTAAAAATGTGGGAATCTATGGGTTAGGTATTAGAAACAGCCGTGGCGAACGTTTAATAGATTTTGCAACCGAAAACAGTTCGGAAATTGTAAACAAAATGTTCAAACATCATGCCCGTCGTTTATCGACGTGGACCAGTCCAAATGGAGAATACAATAACCAAATCGACTACATATTGATTAGAAACAGATGGAAGACATGTTTTATAAACGTAAAAATTAGACCAAAAGCTGAATGTGGATCCGATCATAAATTGTTATGGGCTTGCTTTAAGATGAAGCTAAAAAGAACAATGCCGCACCAAAAACAAAACAGGCTGGAGATCAAATCCGAAACATTTAGAGATGCATTGAAGGAAACTAGTATGTTGAACACACAAGACAACCTAGATGAAATGTAAAAAGGTTTCAGAAATGCCATAGAAGCCTCTGTAGAAAGAACCAGAACCGAAAAAATGATCATTAAGAAAAGACTCTGGATGACAGACAGAACGCTGCAACTTCTCGAAGAGCGAGGGAGAATCAAATCTCTCATATATCAAAACGACAGCAACAAAAACGAATTAGCAAGGTTAAATAGAGAAATGGAAAGAGCATGTAGGGATGATAAAAATAAACATATAAATGAAAAATGCGAAGAACTAGAACGATACGCAAACCGGTATGAATCCCATGAGCTATATAACAAAGTCCGATATCTATCCAGGGAATTGAAACCAATCACACAAACAATAATGGATCAAAACCAACATATTATAAATGACGAGAAAGGGATTGCGGAGGTATGGAGAAAATAATGTCAAAGTCTGTATGCAGATGATCCCCAGAATGCAAATCACGACGAATTCACTGCAGAGAGCCAAACATTCTAAAGTCAGAGGTAGAAAAAGCAATCAAAAAGTTAAAAAATAGAAAATCTGGCGCAGACCAGATCACCGCAGAAGTTTTAAAAGAGACTAGAGATGTCGGAGTAAATGTTATGTATATGATCTGCAAAAAGATTTGGGAAACCGGAGAGTGGCCCAATGACTGGATAACATCCACTTTCATCCCTATATTCAAAAAAAGGAACTCCGTTAGATTGCAGCAACTACAGAACGGTAACCCTAATATCCCATGCAATGTTAATTCTTTGTGATTAACGTTTTAAACTGACTTCGTCAAATATGAGCTATCCGGCAAGCGTAGCATGTGAAAAGCATGAGTAATAACATAAAATTGTACAAAACACTACACTAAAACAAGGACAAACAGTTTAAAATTTCTTAAAAGATTCTACGCACTACATTCTTTGTCAGTATCAAGAGGGAGAATGAGCTAAGCGGAATTGATAAGGTGACATGTGACAGATGACAGCTTTGATAGGCAGTCACTGTCATGGATCTGTGATCAGCACATATTAAAATTCTGTATAGGTCGACATTGGCCAAAGGTCCAACTAAAACCATTATAGAAAATCAGCTTATGAAATATGACATATTATTTTGATTTAAACTAGATTGCATAATCCAGATCTCACACTCACACCCGTCTGTAATGATAAGGTTGTAGGTTTGAGGCTAAATGAAGTGTACATAAAGTGTGAATGAAAGATATAGACCAACCGATCTATTGGACAGTGGGTGGTTGACTACAATAAAATGGTCTACCAGGCACTGTCAATACTGTAAAAACGAGAAGAAAATTGACTATGAAATTGAAATATTAAAAATTAAATCAAAATTGAAAGCAGTGTATAAATGGGGTATAGTTCAAGTAGTTCAGTTAAACCTCAAGCCAATGGGAGAACTGTAAAACTAATATGTAATAGCGTTACTAAAGACCAACTGACCAACAGTGGCAGGTGTTGAAATATAAAACTGTGGAATTAATATATGTAGATTATGCAGAGGTATGAAGAGTGAAATTAACTCCAACTGTGGATCAATTGAACCTGAGCAAGCTAGTTGTGTAAATTGTTAAAGAATACAATAGTAATGCTGAACAAAGCATGAAATTAATAGATTCTTAATGGATATACTCAGTGCAAGAAGTCTAAACAGCCGAGATGGGTCCACTACGAGGTGAAGCTGCAATAAAGTTTTTAAAAATAGGTTTAAATTTAGTACAGTTTAAATTCCTTTGTGATCTCCAAATCTTCCAATAAATCCAACTCCAAATTGTTTTTCTTTCCACTGATTTCATGCAAAATAGACGAACCAGTATTGATGTTGAAATTGTGTTTACTAGACTGTAAATGTTGACCAAAACTTGAAGAGTTTGGTCTTTTCAAATGTTCTGAAATTCTGGTAGATAGCTTTCTAATGGTTCTGCCTACTAATGGTTTCGGGGTGTAAAGCTAGTTCGCGTCCGTAGTAGAACACTACACGTGCACCCTGGGTAACGCTAAATGAACTAGCACAAAAGGCGCCAGACAATCTTGAATCTCCTGGCAATTCAAATATCACAGAAAATCTTTCCAGAAATGACACTTGTAAACGGACCTTATCAGGACCATTTGACCAAAGAAGTCGGACCAATCATACGAGTTTGCCATTTTAACATAGAGGGCATAAGCAGGGCAAAATGTCAAATCCTGCACAGACTTTTAAAAGACAACGAAGTTGACCTAGTAGCACTTCAGAAAACGCACACAGAAAACGAAGGTCAACTAAGCTCAAGAGGAAAAATCCCCGGCTATGATCTTTTGGGCGCTACCTACGATAGAGCTTACGGAGTGGCAACATATGTCCGTTCAAACATAGAAAATGCAGCATTAATCGCCACTTTTACCGAGAACAACATCCACGAGGTAACTGTGAAAATAGGCAATGTCATAATAGCTAACATATACAAAGCTCCTGCTATGGCCTGTCCAAGTTCTTAATTCCTATGAACATCCAGCCATATACGTAGGGGATTTCAACAGCCACCATGAGATGTGGAAATACTCAGACACTGACAGAAATGGCACATCCCTTGTAGAATGGGCAGAGGAACATGGTGCCCACCTTCCATTCGACGCCAAAGATAGAGGCACTTTCAGATCTGCGGCCTGGAGGAGAGAATATAACCCTGATCTCTGTTTTGTTACCATTGACAACAAAGGCCGACCGCTAGCAGCATCACGAAGGGTTATGCCTGACTTTCCACATAGTCAACATCGCCCCGTCCTAATCAAGATCGGTATCAGCATTCCGATTATAAGATCGTTCCCACGCCCCAGATGGAACTTCAAGAAAGCTAACTGGTCTGCTTTCACCAGTAACCTTGACAAATGCCTAGGATGGATACCACCAAAGAGCCAGAACTACGGGAGACTAACAGGAGCAATAATCACCTCAGCAAAAGCGACAATCCCTAGAGGATACCGCAAAGAATATATCCCTGGTTGGACAGAACAGAGCGAAAAACTGTATGAAGAATATTGCAAAGATGGAAAGCAGGAGATTGCAGATTGCACTACTCCACAGCATTGATGCTGCCAGGCGTGAAAAATGGACACAGACAGTAGAAAACCTAGACTTCCAGAAGTCAAGTCGACAAGCTTGGTCCCTACTGCGGAAACTCGGAAGTAGCAACCCACCCGTTCGCCAAACCAACCTAGTAACTCCAGACCAAATAGCTACGAACATAGTGTCAACCTCTAGGACACCTCAAAATCGTTTACATACAATTAAAGTTAAAAAAGACCTCAAAACCATAAAATCTAGTCCTGCACAGTCAACAGAATATTCTAACCCATTTACGCATGAAGAAATATCGCAAGCCCTAAATGAAATGAAAACAGGAAAAGCGCCGGGTTTCGACACCATTCACGCTGAGTTCCTCAAACATAGCGGCAGATTCACTAGGCAATGGCTCGCAGAATTCTTTTCTGACATCCTTCAAACGGGAAACGTCACCCACCAACTCAAAAATGCAAAAATCGTCGCCATTTTAACACCAGGGAAAAGTAATAATTCACCGAAAAACTACCGCCCCATCGCACTCTTAAGTATGGTGTACAAATTGTTCGAAAGACTGTTGTATAATAGAATCAGCAAAACCATATTCCAACACTTACCAGTGGAACAGGCAGGATTTCGGCCAAACCGCAGCTGCACAGACCAGGTACTCGCCCTGAAAAATTATGTGGAATCAAACTTTCAAAAGCAATCAAAAACAACCGCTGTCTTCATCGATCTATCTGCTGCTTATGACACTGTGTGGCGACAAGGGGCAATATATAAATTAATGCGAATAATCCCATGCAGAAAGACCACTGAGGTTATTAACGCCATGCTACCCAACAGATGCTTTAAAGTTATATTGGGAGACAAGACTAGTACCCAAAGAAAACTGAATAATGAACTTCCACAAGGATCCGTGCTGGCTCCCATGCTTTTCAGCCTCTATATAGCAGACATGCCAGAAACCACATCAAAAAAGTTTGGATACGCAGACGACTGGACGCTTGCCGCAAGTCATAAAGAATTCGAGGTCACTGAACGCATTCTAACAAACGATTTAAATGCCCTAGGGAATTATTTCCGCAAATGGAGATTGCAACCCAATCCAACTAAGACAGAAGTGTCCTACTTCCATTTGAACAACAAGATGGCCAACTATCAACCTCAAATCATTTTTGGGGATAGACTCCTTAAATATAATAAACACTCAAAATACTTAGGTGTTACACTTGACAGAACGCTGAACTTTAAAGAGCATCTTACTAAGACGGCTGCAAAACTCCGAACTCGTAACAACATCCTGCAAAAGCTCTGCGGCACTACATGGGGCTCCTCAGCACCCACACTTAGATCGACAGCATTAGGACTGGTATAACCCCGTAGCGGAATATTGTGCACCAGTATGGATAAACAGTCCACATACTCACCGTGTTGATGTCCAACTCAACCAAGCCATGCGAACTATATCGGGCACAATCAAGGACACGCCCACTTACTGGTTACCAGCTTTGAGTCATATAGCTCCACCACTCATCCGCCGGGAACATGCCCTTGTCAGAGAATTTACAAAAATCAATACTGATCCTGAGCTCCGCTCCCATATCGGAACTTCCGCCAGAGACATAAATAGGCTCCGTTCAAGACACCCGCCTCTAAAAACAGCAAAAAGGCTAGTAGATCAAAACTTTAATGTAACTGAACGGTGGAGAGAACAATGGGAGAATAACGCTGCACCAGCTAACTGGAACATGCCATGTATTACAAGCAAACCTGAGGGCTTCAACCAACCGAGACGAATTTGGACCACACTCAATAGAATAAGGACGAACTGTGGCAGATGTTCCGACTCACTTTTTAGATGGGGAAAAATACAATCACCAAATTGCGACTGCGGCGCCGAAAGGCAAACAGTAAAACACATGGTAGAGGAATGCCCGATTAGATCCTATAACGACAACCCTTCAGATTTCCTGGCTGCTACAAAAGAGTCAATCGAATATATTTATAATCTAGATGTTTGTTTGTAGAATAATATTTTTGTATTTACTGTTGTTTGTAATTTATATAATTTATATTATATGTATATATATGAACCTGTGATGTAGCCATACGCTAAATAAATAAATACTAATGGTTTAATGGATAAAATATATTATCGTAACAGCACCGGGCGGCAGACTGTGTTAAACCTGCACTGGTTCCTTGAGAAAGGAGGTAATTAAAGTAATGACATCTTATAAGAAAATTTCCAAATTATTTTTTCTATTTATTAAAACTTCAAAATATTGCACACTTAGAAATATGACACAATCGTTAAAATATAAATAAAATACAACTAAATATATAAATGCATCGGTTGAACATAAATACATTCATAAAATTAACAATTCTCAAAAAAGTACTATTGGTCTATAGTGGTTTCATTCAAATTTGGCTATAAGTATTAACTTTTTTATTATAAAAATTAACACTTGCGTAACATTTAACTTTGGTATTAACTTGTATACATAATTTGACTGCTTTTTATATGCCATATTAAGAGAAATATGGAAAATTATTTAAGATAGACCAGAAAAAGACATCAAACATCTAAACAACTGGTAAATTGGCAAGAATGGTCAACGCCAAGTGTCATATGTTGTGCTGATAGCATATCCAGATGACTAAATCGAATGTAAGACAGTGATTAATTTAGGTTTTTACTTCCAGTTTGCGAGATTCTTGTATTTTATATAAGATATAATTTATGTAATAGTAAATAATTTTTTATGTAATAGTGTATTAATATAATAAAGAATTTAATCCACTGAAATTATTAAAGATAAAATCTTATCTATACCATTTTATAACAATCATAGATATCACAGAAGTCATTACAATAAAAGCATTCTTTAAATACCGAAGAAAAAGATTTGTCTCCAGTTTGGATTTTACGTGTAAGAGTGAGGCATCACTGAGTTATAATCAGTTAAAGACTACTCAAGACTAATTAAAATATATAAAATTGTTCAAATCTTAAAACTAACATCTTTTGCTAAGTTTCCCTAACAACGAAACTTGATACCGCTCTATAAACCAAGAATTAAATAGTAGAAAAATATAGATTATAAAATCGCGATAAAATCATGTATTTGTAAACAACGATTAGAAAATCATGCTTGGTATGCATCTGAAGAAATCAACTTATATTACTTGAGCATTAGTCTGTTCGGTACTGAATTTTTTGTTCACCAAATGATTTTCTAATTTTGGCCAAATATGAAAGCAATATAGACCACAGCACAGCACAGTTATAGTGTATGTTTGGAATGAAGTGTGGAATGTGCTAAAAGGCACCAGCATCTGCTAAGGTAAGAATGTAATTTTAATATGAAGTATTCATCATATCTGTCATCAAATTTCTTTTTTGGGGCAATTTGAATAATCTCCAAAAATATTAATTAATACGTATGGATTTTTTAATGGATAGCATGTTATAAGGTGTCCAATAAGAAAAGGAATGAGTAGCATTATGTACGGTAGTTACTTAATAATGCGACACAGGAACACTACGACCTAATTACCAATTTAACTTGATCCATTTCATGAAAATATTAAAAATAAAATAACTTATTTAAAATAAAAACGCTAAAAATGGAGATTAGTCAAAAAACATGCATATACAAAATATTTACCACAAATAGAATGGTCAATAAAATTCATTAAATAACAAACATACGTCGATAAAATACTCTTCTAAAATATTAAAAATTTATTGTTCATGGCATCAATAGAATATAAAAATAATGTATAAATTTTCACAATATATAATCGTATTTATATCTCATTGCAATTTATATTATAAAAATCGACCAATTCTAATCTTACTGTTACTGTCACACATGACTACGTAAGTTCAGTCTTTTCTAGTTTTAATCGATATACTACAAAAGGCGTCTAATCACATGAGCCAGGAAACATGAAACTTATCAACTCTTGTATCAACGATGTGTGGCTACTAATGTGATGTAACGACCCTAGTTTATGTGAAAGAAAAATAAAAAAATTCAATTTTATGCCTAACGGGCTTGAAAAGAGGATTAAAAAAGTACAGATAAAAAACATTCGTCTTTACTAAAAGAGAGCGAAGAATCCTACTACTTCGGTCAAAATCATGGTGAACATAATATGTAAATAGAACAAAATGTCATTAATACGCATCATGTGATAATGAAAAATAAAGAATGAGTAGTGTAGTAAGGATAAATTGTTAGCAGAGAATATAAAGACGTGTAAATCCGTAAATCGTACTTATAGTTTATATTATAATTTGCGTTGAGATTTAACTTTTTATGTTGAGCTGTACTATTTTGCCGTACCCTGTACAAAACGATTTCAATGGTTCCATAATAAAAATATTGCTCCAATTGATGGACTATGTGGTGTTAGTCTTCGGTAATAACTCTTTAATATTCATGTAACTAGAATCTGATGTAAAGAACTTGACTAATTCGTGAAAACTAGGACGAACTTCGGCTTTGTACTCCCAACAACGTTGGATAATTCTATAAATATCTTCCGGGCAATCTTTTGGTCTTTCTAATCTTTCTCCAGCTTCGATATGGTTTATTGCCTAAAAATAATAAAAGTATCAATTATTAAAAAAAAATAGATTCAATACTGGAGCACTTTGGCGTTGAAAAATGGTGGTGACTATGGTAATCACCTTTTATCGGCATGCTTTGATGCCCCCGCAGAATATTAGCTATCTTTCTCAGAGACCAAATAGTTCATTTTACCATGTCAATGACCATAAGAAAATCTAAAATCTAAGAGCTGACGCATAAGGCAACGTTAGAAATGGAAATAAATAACGAATAGTCTCAAACTACAACAGGTAATGAGATTTATTTATTTATTTATCGTATGGCAATTACAACACATTTAGAACAAAATTAAAAACCCTAGTTTCTAGGTAATGAGAAATACGTGTTATTGGAAGGATAGCTTTCTTTTCGCGGGCTATGGACTGAATGCAATGATCGATGCGGTGGATCACGCAGAGGTATAAAAAAATAAAATCGACAGATAAATAATGTAACGACCTTATGCTAACAAGATCAATGACGCATTTGAGTTTATTTTCGGATTGTTTCTTATTCTGTGATGACAACACTAAGAACCAAACTTAGACAGCTCTTCAAGAGGGTTGAAAAGAGAGGGTGGTTTTTTGAAACTCAAAACCCACAAATGACATGGGTTTTGAGTCAAGATTCGATAATGATGGAAAGAAAAGATATATCCTGGAGACACAAGTACCTCAAACGAATAAAAAACCTTGAGGAGGGATAATATAAATCTTATGTACAGTCGGTCCGCCGGATCTTTGCATAAGTATGACATTATTCACGAATCATTTTTTATGTTACGTCTCTTTCCTACTCACAGAAACTAAAACTATTAACTTAAACCGCCTGTCCATAAACAACACCATGCATTGAACAAAGACAGCCATAGAACAATGATCGCTGATTGATTCGTCTACTGACAATTGACATGTCAATTGGAAATTTTGTTTTGACTGACTTTGTAATATTTTTATAAATTATTTTCGTTTGATTTAAATAATCAATCCTTTTTCATACTTTAAATATACATATTTTTTAACAAACAGTTGTTGTAACGACTAACCCTTACCTTTATGTTCAATTTATTAAGGTAAGAATTCATGTATTAGCTAATAACGAATAATATAATTTTCTTTAACCTCTAAATTGACATTAATTATTTAAATATAGCTAAAACTCCGTCAACGAGCAATATGAAATATTATGCTTATATTCAATAAAAATACTTTAATTTCTGATTACTATGGTTTAAATATTTATTTACTGTAGATGTTATTGGACAACTTGGAAAATCACGTTCATAAATGTATACGTACCCAGTTTTTAAAATGCAATAAATGAAATAAAAGAGAAGTAAAAAAAAGTCAATTGTAATATTAGCCATTTTCTAATTTTTATAATAATTCTTATAGCCGACATACGTTTGACTCACATGTTTTGATTTATTTTCTATAATAAGAATGATGACGATGTGCAAAGATCCGGCGGATCGACTGTATACCGATGAGTTTTGGACTAACGTCGGTGCTTCAGTCAAAGAGGAATGGAGGGAAATAACGATCAAGAATCCACGAGATGCCTTTATAAAAGGGCTCTCTACTGGACTGAAAGCTCCAAGCCAAAGAGGTCCTCGGTTTGTTATTCATGCTGGAATCGAAACTGATTTTGTGGCATGGGCCGAATTAACTTCCTTGGCCAAGAAGGAAACCGCTGATTACCACGATGAAATGGACGGGGATCTATAGACCAAACCAAGAATGGTTCGAGAAGACGTTAATTCCAAACTTGCCGAACGACAAAGAAAACGTTGTCGTTTTGTATAACGCGACTTATAGTTTTCCCGTAGACAAAACTATTTTTAAAAAATAATTACTTTATTAAAAAATTACAAAAAATCGAAAAAGGACAATTTTTATATAAAGCTATAATGTTTCTTCCTTCAAGAGTACGAACAGACTGAAAAATATCTAGTTAAAAATGCAGTGGTAAAATGATAATTAAGTAAATATAAAATGCAAACTAATCTTATTACAAAGTTCATTAGAACACAAATCCTGGATCATCAATCTTAGGTGAATGAATAGAACAGGGCCGGCTCCCATAAGTCACGTCACGTCATACCACTTCCGCAAATTTGATTTCCCGGAAAAAATTGTGGAACAAAAGGCAAATCAAGGATTTAATAATCAGAAAGAACATTTTCTTCGAGGAAGATTATCTAAAAAGTTAATTACTGGATACTGCGGCCGCATTTAGATACGAGTACAAGTACAAAATTGAAACAAATGCGGAAAAATATGGCGTTAAGATTTTGAGACTGCCGCCTTACCATTGCGAGCTGAACCCGATTGAGATGGAGTGCAGCCAAGTGAAAAGGTATGTGGCTTCAAACAACGTCGGTTTTAAAGAAAAAACGGTAAAACGGTTGATAAAAGAAGCTTACAAACTTTATCCAAAGAGCAGTGGCATAATTATGTAAACGATGTCAACAACAAAGAAAAAATATTTGCGGTGGACAATTTGCAGGATGATATTGAACCGGTGATAATTAATATAGATGATTCAGAGGATGAGGACGATTTAGATATGGATTGCGATTAGTATTAATTAACGAGAAATATCTCAGATTTAATGCTTATTTGTTTTTTTAGTACTGTACATTTTAGTTATCTTCTACAATCTTCTTGTTATGTATATATATATATATATATATATATATATATATATATATATATATATATATATATCGTGTCGTATAAGGTAAACTACTGATATTTTTTTTGTACATATGTTAGCAATTCCAATACTTTTCACCCACTTTTGTGGGAGGGGTCTTCGGATTTGCTCCAAATTATAGTATGTTATTATACCTTATGAAATAAGACTACAGTTCAAATTTCAGTCCTGTAGGTACACTAGGGCCCGAGAAATCCCTTCTCAAAGGCTCAAAAAAGGCCCTTTTTAGCCTATATTCAAAAAGCTGTATCTCGATGTCCTATAAACCGATTTTTATTTGGAATAGCTCATTTTTTTTGTTATAACGTCAGCTATTTACAGAACAATTTTCAAAATCCTAGATCTCAAGATCCATTATCGGGGACTAAATTAGTGCGGACAAAATTTAAAGATTTTGGTTATTTTTAAAAAAATCATAAATAGTGAATGGGTAATTAGAAATACTTTTGATAGGTCTTATTTGAAAGGTTTTTTTATTACCTTTAAAATGAGACTTTACATATTTAACCAGAATATTTCATTGGTAAAAATTCGTTAATTACTTTTTATCTTTATTTTATGTTTATTTTTATTTCATATAAAGAGTTTATATACAGTGTAGGAAAAATTTTATGGTCGGTATGGACCTTACGTGAGATGGAGTGAGAAACAGCTGTTTAGAAAAAGAGAGGTATATTAGGTCCGCCCTTTATATCGCCAAACATGCATGACTGGAAAGGGGAAGTTCAACGTTGCCAAACTTATTGGATTTATTTGACCTGTTGTTTTTTTTTGCATTTGAACAATGTTCTAAGATAATCCAATTTGGGCGAAATTGATTTAAAGGGCAGCTTACTGTTTTTTTATTGGGAATATGCCACAAGTTTACTTTACAATAAGTGTAATATAACATTTTGATTTCCACTTTGGAAATCGTTTTATATACCTAAATAAAATTTATTAATGTTTCGTATTTTAAGTACGATTTCCGAATTAAAAATCTAAACATCAAAATAAGCTTATTTTAAAGTCACATTGTGCCTTATTCCCAATATGAAATAATAAACTTCATACAATAACACCACATTAAAAAATATTCACATACAATAATTTATTTGGCAACGTCGTCCGTCTGGTTACCGAGTAACGGGTAGTAGAGGTGGGTCGTGGTAATTTTATCGTTAAGAGCGTAAGAGCGATTAATATTTTTTAAATGCATTCATTTTTTTCGAATCCTGATAAAACTAATAAATATTCTTAAAAAATTTAAACGCAGAATGAACCAATACATTATTACCGAGGGCCAAAAGTCCCTGAAAACTTCTATAATGTTTATTTTAATAAGTTATAAGGGCGAAAAAAAAATTAGTGTGATTTTTAATTTCAAATATCTCATTCAAAAAACTTTTTGTTTATTCTAAGGGACTTTCGGCCCTCGGTAATAATGTAATCTTTTATTCTGCATTTAAATTTTTCAAAAATGTTTGTTAGTTTTCTCAGGATTCAAAAAAAAAATGAATGAATTTAAAAATTTAAATTTTTGTAAACAAGTAACTATGATTGTTTAAAAGTAGTTTCAAGTAAGAGAGTACCTACATAAACAAACATAATGGCTATTATCGTTTATGTGTATATTTATTGAAGTGAAAGAAACTAATGATATATTTATTATAACTTGAAAAATAAACTAAACAATACAAACAGTAAATCGTACTTACATTTAGATTACACGTTATTATTAAATCGCGAATAGTCTAAATTGACATTAAAAAACATAAGTTTTTCTACTATACCTACTTCTTATTAACCGTCTTCTTTTTTTATTTCAAATTAAACCAGATTTTGAACATGTGTTCACATTTACAATACTGTATGAATATAGGGGTTAAGTTAGGATATACATGGCGATGGTTTTTCCACCGTTGTAATGGACTCTCGATACAGGTGTACGTGTAGATGAGCCATCTCCAATTAATTGATCAAATATACACCATGGATTTAAGTCATCTTTATTGGTTTCTTTTTCTTGTACTGGTTGATTTTCAATAGTACAATCTTCTTGTTCGTTAATTATAGAAGTAACCAGCTTCTTAACTTTTTCTTTTATTTTTTTATCTTCATTTTTATCAGAAAAACCCTGCACTTTAAATGGTGAATCCATAAATGTACATAATGACAATATGCCACTCTGTTCTATCCCTTTAAATATTTTTGCTAAACCCGATATTAGTAATTGTACTACGTCGGATACTATGGATGTAAGGTTACCGTTTGCTAAAATTTTCTTGCAAGATTCTTGCAGGCCGCGTACCATAACAATCACTGAACTACCCTTCAAGTATTTTTGGTCACTCATTATACTTGTTATTTCTTTAAACGGCCGTAAAATTTGGGAAAGCTGAGAACAAATAATCCAGTGTTTTTTATTTAAATTTGGTCTAAGTCTGTATTATTTAATACCGATGTGGAACGGAAATACACGCCAGTACACCGAAAATATCAAAATTCAGAGAGGAGTCCGCCAGGGTTGCGTGCTGTCCCCACTACTTTTCAATGTCTACAGTGATCGGTATTTTAAGAAGCGCTCTCTGACTCAATAGAAGGTATATCTATCAATGGAGAAGTTTTGAATAACTTACGTTTTGCAGACGATACAGTAATAATTACGGATAACAACAATGATTTACAGAACCTAATGCAACGCCTTAATGAACGCTGTCATGAGTACGGACTGAAGATAAATTTAAAGAAAACTAAATGCATGATCATGACTAAATCTGCACATGCAAATATCCAATTGACTATTGAAGATACTGCAATTGAGAATGTTAATAACTATAAATACTTAGGAACATGGATAACATCAGATGTAGACCAAACCAAAGAAATTAAGACACGTATTGAAATAGCACGTACATCATTTATTAAACTTAAAAAGTTTCTTTGTTGTCGGGATATAAGGTTAGAACTACGCATGAGAATGCTTCGATGTTACGTGTTCTCTACTCTTCTTTATGGTCTGAAAGCTTGGACACTAAAACAAGTTCATCTGAATAAGTTGGCCGCCTTTGAATTTTGGTGTTACAGAAGAATCCTACGAATATCATGGATTCAAAAAATGTCAAACATTGAAGTAACTAGAAGGATAGGAAATGAGGCAGAAATAATATTAACTATTAAAAGACGAAAACTTGAGTACTTGGGACATGTGATGAGAGGGCAAAAATACGCATTATTACAACTTATTATGCAGGGCAAAATCCGAGAAAAGCGAAATGTGGGAAGACGAAGAATATCCTGGCTTAAGAACTTAAGGGAATGGTTTGAATGCAGTAGTGCAGACCTTTTTAGAGCGGCAGTCAACAGAGTCGGCATAGCCATGATGATTTCCAACCTTCGATAGAAGATGGAACTTAAAGAAGAAGAAGTGAAACGGATTGCCTCTTCTAACTCAGTCATTCTTTTTAACCTATAATAGGTGAAGTTCTACCTAGTTTCCACGTCTTGGATTGGCCGTTTGGGAACTTTGTTATGTCGTAATTAAGCCTTTCTGAAGATAAGGTACTTTTTTTAATGTTTTTTGCAGAATTGTCGAAAATAGCACTTTTTATTTTATCTATTATCAAATCAGTTTTGACATAACATTCCTGAAGTAATGAATCTAACAGTTTTTCTTGTTGGCGGTTTATATCCAGGAATCCACCTTGCAAACTTTTTAAAAGCTGGTTCTTCACCTATAGAAAACGGATGAAACGAGTCTTTGCATAAGTTTAGTAAATCAATAAGTTTAGTCAAGAAAAACAAACTGATAAAGATGACTTAAGTCCATTGTGTATTTTTGATGAATTAATTGGACATGACTCATCTAAACATACAACTGTATCGAGAGATATACAAGAAGTCGACATGTATTTGTCTAATAATATATTACCCACAATAAATTTCGAACGGAGATTGGAACTGTTTATTACCGTGGTGGAAAAACCATCGCCATGTATATCCTAACTTAGCCACTATATTCATAAAATATTGTAGAATTGTAACAAAATCTTTTCCTTGTGAACACATGTTTAAAATCTGGTTTAATTTTAAATAAAAGAAGAACACAGTTAACAAGAAAAGTAGAAAAACTTGTTTTTAAATGTCAATTTAGACGGTTCGCGATTTAATAATAACGTGTAATGTAAATGTAAGTACGATTTAATGTAAATGTAAGTACTATTTGTATTGTTTAATTTATTTTTCAAGTTATAATAAATATATCCTTCGTTAGGTTCTTTCACTTCAATACTTATACACATAAACGATAATAGCCAATATGTTTGTGTACTCGCTAATTTGAATCAACTAGTTACAGTTTACGAAAAACGGTTCCGATAAAAATTTAAAAAACGGGAGGACCCACCTCTAGTTTTTTAGGTATATTAGGATCGGAACCAGAGAATATAAATATCTCTGATCGGAACTATTCGTCTCACTAATGGCCAATAGGTGTTAAAAATATTTGAGGAGGGGAGACCAAGGGGAAATATGATTGTTATCTTTGTCTATTCGCTGAAAATATGATTTTATATCTGCGTTAGATATCCTGTTAAATTTTACCATACCGACCATAAAATTTTTCCTACACTGTATAATCATTAGAACTATTGTAAATCTACATCAATAATTTTTTGTTCTTCGGCAAAAGAGGTAAACTTCATTATCATTTTTTGTTTTCCTTCTACTGGAATGTAAGAATGATGCTTATAAATTAAATAAACTGATAGCAATATATATTAGATCAACAGTTTGCACCGAAAAAAACATTTCAAAATGTCTAAACCTGCATGCTAAGATATGGACTATCTTTTTAAAAACTTACTTCAGATCCTTTCATATCTCCATAAGGTGACGCTCCAAATGAATACATCTCCCAAATAGTAACTCCAAAACTCCAGACATCACTTTTGTGAGAAAACTGTCCAAAATTGTATGACTCTGGAGCGTACCACTTTAACGGCCATTTTCCTCCAGCCAAGGCCCTAAAAATAAAAAGATTTGAAGAATAAAAAATGTGTCGTGTTCGTGCGCAATGATCATCATCGTCATCATCTTGGTGCTACAGCCCTTAGAGGGCCTCGACCTTCTCAAGCTTTCTACGTCATTCTGTTCTGTCCCTTGCTTGCATTTTCCAGTTGCCGACTCCGATCTTCTCAGCATCTTGTGTTACCCCATCCATCCACCTTAGCTTTGGTCTACCCCGTCTTCTCATTCCCACGGGTTGCGCTGTTAGAATCTTTCTGCTATCTAAATTAGCGTCTCGTACAACTTTTTCTAAGACGTCATTAAAAAGTTGACACACCAGCGCATCTCCCTGCCTTTTAACCCCCTATGTATTTCAAATGGGGCTGACGAGTCGTTTTGAATTTTTACTGCTGATAGCATCTTCGCCATTGTCACTTTTATCAAACATATGAGTTTTTTTTTAATTCCTAATTCATTCATAGCGTTGTAAAAACTTGGTCTTAAGACACTGTCATTGCCGCTTTAAAATCGACAAAAATATGATACATACCTATGTTAAACTCTTGCGCCTTTTCGAGGATCTGTCGTAATGTAAAGATCTGGTTAATGGTTGAACGTCCACGTCTGAATCCTGCTTGATATTCTCCTAGGAACGTTTCGGTATAAGGCTTCAATCTCTAGTGCAAAATGTTTGACAATATCTTGTATGCTGTATTTAATAGAGTTATTTCGCGGTAATTATTGCATCCAGTTGGTTTCCCTTTTTGTGTAACGGGCAAATTAAGCTAAACTCCATTCTTCAGGCATTTGCTCCTCAGACCAAATTTTACAAACAATTTCTCACATCACCTTGGTGAGCTGCTCTCCACCGTGCTTAATTAACTCTGCTGGGATGCCATCGCTGCCTGGGGATTTGTGGTAGATATTTTCACTTCATCTACCGAGGGGGGTTCCACGAGTTCCTCATTTCGGTATTCCAGCTCTGTATAGTTAGTAGGTTCCCCTTCCAGCAACTCTCGAAAGTGCTCTACCCATCGTAACAGGATATCCTCTTTGTTGGTAAGTAAGTTACCTTCCTTATCACTAAAATAGTTGATTCTCGGTTTGAATTCTTTTCTAATAATATTTATTTGATGATTGAACTTTCTTGTTTCTCTGTGACTCATATGGCTTTCGAGCCATTCTAATATGTCATTTTCCGAGTCTTGTTTCTTTTTTCGGTGTATGCATTTTCCCTCTCTCCGTAAGTTTTTGTATCTATCTATTGTTGGCCTAGTTTTCCGTTGTTGCATGGTCCTTGCATGGTTGCAGGCGCGCAATGAACTCACCCTAATACTAAAGAAATGCCACCGAGTATGTACTAATAAAGGGAATAATCGAGATTTGAGCAGTTATTAAAGATTTAACGATTTAAGATGCAGATAAAAAGCATTGCGAGAATATTATCTAACCCATTTATACAGTGTATAAACCACTTATGAAATATAATTAATTTTGAGCTCTTCTAAGATGTCTTCACATAGAAGAACTGCATCCATATAAATTAACTTACTACTCAGAAAGTAATGTCCATAATACTAGATAATTCCTTTCTGATAGGCTAATAAATAATCTGGATAGAAATGACAAACTTTCGAAAACCATTCCTTTTTCAGATGAGTCAACTTCAATATTAACGGGAAAGTAAATCGATAAGATTGTACATTTTGATCAGCGAAGAACCCACATTGGATACACAACATCATCATCATCACCACCCCCAGCCCTTTGCGTCCACTGCTGGACATAGACCTCTGTCCATTGTGCTCTATCTTGAGCACTTTTCATCCAATTTCTTGACATTTTCTTGAGATCCTCAGTCCAACGAGTAGAGGGTCTTCCTCTACGTCTAATCTCGGCCTCCACTCAAGCAATCTTTTCGTCCACCTTTCATCACTGATTCGAGCGACGTGTCCGGCCCAGTTCCATTTGTTATCACCATCTGTTACCATCAGTTATCATCCGGTAACTCCTGTTCTTCGTCTTACGTCTTCATTTCTAACTCGGTCACGAAGCAATATACTCAGCATTGACCTTTCCATTTTCCTCTGAGCTATTGGCAGCGTTTTAGAACTTGTAGCTGTCAATGTGAAAGTTTCGGTACCATAGGTCATCACAGGCAACACACATTGGTCAAATGTTTTACGTTTTAAAGAAATTGGTATAGACGTTTTCATCTTTCTTGGCGTGTGCGTGTAAAAACACTTGCAATAAGTTGTTTCATCTATCTTTCCTTGTCTAAGCTCGATTCGTTTACCTCCTCCAGTGGCAGCCATCTGTATTCGTAAAGAGGCCGAACTTATCACCGACACCGTATCGACCAAACGCATCGGTGTTATTGCTACAATACTGGGAGACGTAAGTGGTCTCTTCATTCCCTTCTCATCGCACTTTACCATAACAAACGTGACTCGCACAATTGAATTACGCATCTGTGTATCAGAGAGAGACGAATATTACAAATTCCGTAGTAGCTTATTTCAGGCACACGCCAAGAACGATGAAACCGAGTTTATATCGCTTTTAAAGATGTCTTTGAGTTTTCCATAGGCTGCCCATGCTAGGTTTATTCTTCTTCGCCGTTCGCATGTTTGGCTGTCTCTTGTGATCTTTATTTCGTGTCCAAGGTATATGTATTTTTTCACCAGCTCTACTTCGTTGTCTCCAATATTCATATTTCCGCTAGGTACTAGGTTTTTCATGAATTTTGTTTTTGAGATGTTTATTTTAAAACCCACACTTGCACATACTAACTGAAGTTCATGTAGCATTGTACATACAGTGCGTTAAGTTTTTGATTAGGTATTGCACACTATACGGAGCGCTAAAATCGGCAACGTTGCAAATGTTCGTTCTCCGACCCGAAAATCTACACCGACAGAACATCATTTATTTTAGTTTAGTAACTCACAACAACGTTAGGGATGTACTTCTCTGTCGTCCGATCTCATGTTTCATTACGTAAAGCCGATTTTAATAGTAGGAAATTCGATAAAAATGCACTGAACTAATCAGTGTATTGTTATCGATTTTTATTAATGTGAAAAATTTTTTGTGGTTGAATTAAAAATAAAAGCGTATTTCTTTAAAAAGATAAAATAAAAAATATACTCTTATTGAAAATTAAAATATTATTCCTAATAAAATAAAAAAATAATTCTTTATGACCTACAGAAATGGTTCAAATAGTTGACCTTCTACGGCTGAACAGTACCCCAATCTGTCATAAAAACTTCTGCGAACAGATGAAAGAGTTTCTGCTGTAACAGAATTGGAGACTTCTCTTATTCGATTTTTTAATTCATCCAAATTTTGGGCTCTAGCCTCAGGATGAGCGTAGATAATGCTTTTTAAATGTCCCCAAAAAAGAAGTCCATGGGTGTAAGATCTGGAGATCGCGCAGGCCACTTAATATCGCCTGTTCCACTGATAACTCGATTCGGGAAAGTATTGTTTAAATACTCCCTAATAATTCGAGCGTTGTGAACTGAACAGCCGTCTTGATGAAACCAAACATTCTCCAGATTTACATCAGGAAGATTGAGAATAGCGGGAAGAACATGATTCTGTAACAAATCGAGGTATACTCTACTATTCAAGTTGCTCTCAATAAAAAATGGACCTATTATGTGGTCTCCTAAAACGCCAGTCCAGACGTTAACTTTTTGAGGACGTTGAGTTCGGTAAACAACACTTCTGTGCTGGTTTTCCCGCGCCCAATACCTCGTAATGGAAGGATTGTGTCTCCCTACTAACGAAACAGAAGATTCATCAGTGAATGAAATGTTTTCAATAAAATTTGGTTCACTATTAGCCTTCGTTATTAGAGTTTCACAAAACTCCATTCTTCGAAAGTAATCGTCTGGATAAAGCTGCTGCGTTTTCGAATATTTAAAATTCTTGTAACCGTGCTTTTTCCATACTTTCGTTACAGTAACACTGCTAACATCTAACTCTCTAGCAACGCTTCTACTTGAACGTGTTGAATCTACCTCGATTGTTGCACAAATTTGTGTATCCCGGTATTCTCTTTCCTCAACTTTTTCTGGTAACACTTCTCGAGCGTGACATTGTCTGCAATTTTTGAGGCAATAACAACTCTCAAAATTTTTAACAATATTATAAATTGACTGTACACAAGGAATTGGTCTTCCCTCAAAAAACACAGAAAATAAATCTACACACTGTTGCGCAGAATTGCCACTATAAAACCATTTTATTATTTGAGCTTTTTCCGCGGCCATATAAACAGACATGTTTACAAAAATAAATTAAAACTCTACGCTGTTATACCTTTAAACAACCACGGTATAATGACAATATGACAAATTTGCCGACCGGCGACGTGCAACGACGAGTCAACGAAGCAGATATGTAGTGCAAGTCGAAGACGCGCAGTGTTGTCATTTATAGAGTGTATACCTAATCCAAAACTTAACGCACTGTATCTCCTTGAGGTTGTCCGAGAACAAAACTATGTCGTCTGCGAATTTCAAATTTGTTAATCTTCTACCGTCAATGTTCAGGCCTTTCTCTTCCCAGTTAAGTTTTTTACAAGCATATTCTAGTACTGCGGTAAACAGTTTAGGCGATAAAGTATCACCCTGTCGGACTCCTCTGTCGATTGGGATATGATTCGTGTTTTCATGTAGTTTTACCGACATGGTTGCGTTCTTGTACGTATTGTAAATTAACCTTGTATATTGGAAGTCAATGCGGCATGCTTGTAGTGCTTCCAGGATTTTGTCAAATTCTACCATGTCAAAGGCTTTATGGAAATCTACAAAAGCCACAACGATGGTCGATTGTATTCGATAGTCTTCCAAATCCGGTACGAAATCCCGCTTGTTCCATTGACTGGATACGCAACACACGTACTAATATCATCAATACGTAATATTATCAAAAAACGTTTAGGTTGGTATCGTACGTAGCTGACCATACATTTGGTGTGACTTATAGAAGACAATTTGACAGGTGTAAATACAATATGTGGATGACACTTTTGTGACCTGAAGACATGGAGAGATGGATATAAATAGCAACAAATTTAATGCACTGTAGAGACGCGAATTGATTGGGATTTAAAACTGCATGGAACGTACACTTCCTCGTCAACGCCTCCATTAAGGCAGACAAGAATTGGACCATATAGATAAGACACTTGTGATACTGAACATACTGTTACGAAATTTTTATACTGGAATGACTACAACATCGACCATCTAACTGCCAAAACGATGCTACAATGATATCCTCATCAGGTACGCAGAAAAAGGAATGTGGAAGTTTGCAAAAGTCCAAATCAACTACTGTAATGGACGAGATGGCAAGAACAATAATTGTAAATACCTCAGGGTGGAAACTCTTCAACATAACAGATTTCAGTTCACAGATAACAATGTATCTTTACAGTAGTAGTCTTACCGTGTATCACCCTGTGTATTTATATGTTTATTCAGAAATTGTACAATTACGTTCAAAATAGGTCCCTGCATATGAACTTGTGTCGAGTAAAAAAACTAACTTAATTGGCCTAAAATCGTGTAACAAACATGATGATTTTATTTTTTATTTATTCATTCCAACGGTAGAACCATTTACAATAAAATACAAAAATAGTAAAAAGTAAAGATCATGTACAATAAACATCAAAACAATAACAAAGAAACAAGTAAACAGTTAAAATTTGTACATTACAACAATATATCGTATCACAAAAATTTTAAAAAAGTATCAGTATCACATAGTAAGTATCACATATCTAGATTAATAGTCAGATTCTTAAGTTGCCTTTTAAAAGCATTAATGTTTATGCAGAAAGGATCCAATAGGAGGTCATTGCAAGAACTGAGCATTCTTGACAGGGGAAAATGACGAGCATAATCAGTCCTATGAAAAGGAATATGAAAGAGTGCAGTGTGTCGAGTTCTATGCATTGTGTTTAAGTGTACATTGGCCAATAACGAGGGACAATTAATAACATTGTTCAGAATTTTAAACAAAAATAACATATCAGCTCTCAACCTGTGGTTCTTCAATGTATCAATGTTAAAATGAGCCATTATTATAGAATAATCTATGAAATAATTTTCAGTATTTTTTATATTAATATGGGCTTTAAAAGCTAAAGATCTTAGAAACTTTCTCTGAACGCTCTCCAATCCATCAATGTATACTTGATGAAACGGGACCAGACAAGAGAGCAGTATTCAAGATCTGAGCGTACCAGAAAGCAATACAATAATTTAAATACAATAGGTGAGAGACCATGACTGTTGCGATAAATAAAACCAAGATTACGAAATCCTGTTTCCTTAATTTTAAGAAAATGGCTTCTAAATGTCAATGCACAATCCAATAATACACCCAAATCTCTAATCTCAGTAACTGAATCCAAGAGTACATCATTAAGAATATATCTATTAGCCATTAGATTATTTATACGACCAAATGAAATACAAGAACATTTAGTTGGATTTAAGCTTAAACCATTTTGTTTTGACCATAAACATATGTTGTTTACATCATCTTGCAGGAGATCTCTATCCGATTTATTATGTATACAACGAAATATCTTAAGATCATCAGCAAATAGCAGGAAGTGTGAATTTTTAATAGCCTTAAAAATATCGTTAATGAACAAGTTAAAAAACAAGGGACCACAATGAGACCCTTGTGGTACTCCAGAATAACAATGAAATTCTTTTGAAATATAATTGTTAATACGAACTTGCTGTGTACGTCCCATCAGAAAACTTTTAATCCAATTAACAATGGGGTCACCAAAGCCAGATGCATGAAGTTTGTGGACCAAAAGATTATGATTAACCTGGTCAAAGGCCTTTGAGAAATCAGTGTAAACGCTGTCAACCTGAATTTTATTCTCAAATGCACCCAACAAGTATTGTTGGTAATTGAGAAGGTTTGTTACAGTTGATTTCCCATTAGAAAAACCATGTTGTTCATCAAGAATTATGTTTCTGCAAGCCCAGGTGAGATTTATTGATACCAATTTATCAAGAAGTTTCGGGATTGCTGATTGAATAGTTATACCTCTATAATTGTTAACACACTCGCGATTGCCAGATTTATAGATAGGTGTAAGAAAACTATTTTTCCAATATTGTGGAAATACAGATGATGACAATGATAAATTGAAAATTTGTTGTAAAGGTTTACAAAGGGAAAAAATACAGTTCTTAATAAGTGCTGCAGGTATACCATCAGGTCCTGAAGAATATGTAGTTTTTAAACCACTAATCCCCTCGAAAACATCAGTCAGACTAAACTTCAGACTCTGAAAATCCACATTATAGTCCAATTTAAAATTAGGTACATTACACTCACTATCATTATATGTACCTGAAAAATAGCTGGCAAATAAATTGACTATTTCATCACCATTCTGAGCTATTACATCCCCACCTTTATTAGACATTACATTAGGATCAGCACTAGACCTACGTGTAGTACTAACATACCTCCAAAAAGAGTGGGGATTACTTGAAAGATTTGTTTGAATATTCTCTAAATAGTTCTTATAACATACTGCTTGTAATGCTTTACATCTTTCCCTTAACACCGAAAATTCATCATATGAGTTGCCTGATGCTTTAAAATTCTTGTGAGATATTTTTTTCTGTATAACAAGCTCAATTAATTCTCGCGAAAACCAAACTGGAAAGATTTCCTCCATAACTCACTATTTGCAGATTAGGTAAAGTTTAGAACAGGTATTAAGAGATATGTGACCCTTCGTTCTTGAATAATGGGAGCCTAAAACACTCCACTTAAAGAATAAAATGTTTGACAAATAATGTTGAACGTTTATCTGATATTGACAACATTTTAATTGGAAAAATACGAACCTGTAATATTCATGATCAGTCCCTAGAGCTCTAGATAATCCAAAGTCACTTATTTTTGCTTCAACTGGAGTGGCTAGCAATATATTTCGGGCAGCTAGATCTCTATGCACAAATCGATTCTCTTCTAAATATTCCATTCCTTAAACATTTAATAATTTATTATTATTAACCTAATTGATTTCGCAACAAATCTAAATACTACTGTCCACTTAGAAAGCATCTATAAAAACGGAAAAATAATCTTGTGATTTAATAAACTTCAGTAACCTATAAGAAAACTGACAATACGAACTGCATGAAGAAACTATCATTTGCGAATGTGATTCGCTTTGTGATTTGAAGCTGACATACAGTAGCTACCAAAAATTAAATTGAAAGAGATCCTTTATTTTCCAATGAGGATGCTGTTGGCTATCCTCGAAAGCACAAGACTTCTTGGTCAATGATCTAACGACCAAGTGCCAGAAACTTTCGTGTCTTGTCTGAGAAAATCAGAAGAAAGAAACAAAAGAAGTAAATTTGGATGGTCATTGTGAATAATAATTGTTATCTCAGATGGGCATTAATAAAGTATCTATAGATTGTCTCAAAGTGACTAGTCTGTACAGAGTAAATGCACAACATCGAAGCCATACTTCTTTGCAAATTTGTATTAAAGTAAACGTCACTTCTTACTACTTAGCCTAATCGCGCCTGCCTGGCTTCCTTCTGTCAGTGGTTTCTTCGGTCAGTGGTTGAGTGGTTTTCAAACATAAATAATATTTGCTTCAACATACTTGGGTTAAATTAAAATAAAATAGAAATTAAGAAATGCCTTTTATTTTTGTCACAAAAGCAGTTTGTTTTTAATTCTACAGTATGTGCTAGCGATACAAACTATTTGTTTATAGATTTATTTATATATTGTTCCGTTCAAAAGTTAAGGGGAAAGGACTTTTAAAAACCGCACTGTATATGTTGGCAGTAACAAAACGTAGAAATATCCGAAAATAAAACGAATAAATAAGTTGAAAATAAAAGAAGTCATTGTATTTAAATTCGTGTGTAAGTAATCGTAATTGTACACCATTATATTTAGTTCCTTTTTCTGTCAATGGCTGTCACATTTAGTTTCTGCTTAACTCTCATCATCATCATTATTATCGTCACTGTCATCACTATCTCCGTTATTTATATTTATAATAATTGGTTCGATATCATCCAACAAATTGTCAATTTCGCGCATTTTTTTTCTCTTGCTATTACTTGGTTTACGTAGTTTTTCCATTTCTCTGGCGTAATGACCTGGTACGCTGCTGTAATTAAATTTCGTATTTCAGCTTCTTTAAAATTCGCGTTGCGTCCAGCTATATACCGTTTCACTTCACTCCAAACTATTTCGATGGGATTGAGTTCACAGTGATAGGGTGGGAGCTTCAGAATCCTCACATTGTGCTTTTTGGCAATATCTTTTATTATGTATCTGTCATATTTTGCTTTGACTACATCAAGTAACTCGCATTTTAGGTAGTCTTCTTCAAAAATAGGTCCTTTGACAAAAGCCATTCTCGAATATCTTTTTTTAGTATTGAACTGTTGGGATTTTGTTCTGACTTTCTGCTGTGATAGGAGGCATTGTCCATTACCACAACAGTTTTTTCTGGTAAATTTAGCATTAAGTTATTTTCGAACCAATCTTCGAAGGTCGGTCCATCCATTTCGTCGTGGTAGTCCTGAGTATTTTTCTTTGCCAAAAACATGAGCTCTCATCAACAAATCCACTGGTAGATCCTGCGTGCAATAAAACAAACCTGCACCACGAGCTGTTGGAGCTTTTAATCCTGTTGTCAGACCACAAACAAAAGCATCACGATAAGTGTAGTTGTTTTATCAACCCATTCTTTTTTGCCCGATATTTACCCATGATTCCCTTCTGCATGGTATTTACGAATTGCGCGTAAATAATGATGACGCCACGAGATGATTTCTGATTTTTTAATCAAAATTGAATTTCTTCCACGTTTTATAAACACCAAATCCATATCACTCAGCAAGCGATGTAGCGTGGCCCGTGAAAAGTTGGGCAAAGTTTCTTCGACATTTACAACAGCTAATATGGTGTTTATTGTTGGTGGTATGTTGTCACGAAAAAATTTATGAACTATTTTACGAATTTGCTCCCTGACACCTTCATCATACTTGTTGCCACTAGAATTACCAACCTTTAGCTTCTTGGGCCTGCTGTTTGGAGATTGTAATCCAGCAGGTGATGAATATTCCTGTCGTATGAGAAACATAGTCTTTTCGCAAGCACCACTCATTTCTCACACTTTCCTAATTACACTTGATACAGAATCGTTGTTATCCTGACTAAGATGATAATTAATAATATTCATTAGTATCTGCTTCTCTGAAAGTTTCAGAGCTTTTCCACATTTCCATTGAACAATTTTTTCCTCCATTTTGCGGTAAAAATTCGTCGTCAAATATAACAATAGTCAACAACAGAAAATAACAATAATTGTCAACAGCAAATCGCAACAACAGCCACCAACAAATAATAACAATAACAAAACAGTAACAGCACATCCAAGATGGTACAAATGATGTAACTCGAATATGTTTACGCGCTCCGAAGAACAAATAAAGACTAATTAAAGCCCTGGATGTATCAAGCTTTTAAACATATTCTGTACAAGAATTACTCTAATTGCTTCTTAATGACTGAATAACTTGGAAGAAAGTATTTGAAAAACTTTGAAACAAATCTTTATTTAATGCACATTTTATTATACTACTGCTACTAATAAAAGATAAAAGTTGATAAGTTACTATTAGAAACAAATAATGTATAGTATTATGTAAAATTATTAGCAAACAATATTTGTAAATTACATAAAATTGTATGTGAGGACTTGTTGAGAACTCCTGGTTTCTTCCGTTTATTTTAAAAGACAATAGAGAACGGCATCGTTCACTGCATAAAACTGGCAACGTCTTGGCGAAATCCCCATAAGGTTAGCATTGCATATCTTACCCTGTACAGACAAGTCACTTTGAGACACAGTATAGGATGGGTGCGAATTATCAATGTGGAAATAGATGAAGATGCATGCAGTAGAGTTACATTGCAATAAACGAAGTGGAATGAGGCGACAGATTTGTTGTGTGACAAAGATTCCAATGGAATAAGCAAAATTCTAGAACATTACCATAAGGCCAGGTATGGCACTGAATATTTTGCAGTTACGGTATTATTACCGTCTAAAATACTAAAAAATGACTTATATTCAACATTTTTTGTATCTTATCTTTTATAATATAGCAATCAAACTTTTAAATATTATAAAACTTTTGAAGATTAGTCGAAAGAAAGTCGAAAGAAAATGCAAAAAAGTATTTTTGAAGTGTGTATATTTTAGGCAATTCCTAGCTGAGCGCTTTCGGCTTTACAAAGCCATCATCAGAGCTATGGTCAATTTTTTAAATACCACTACAAAGGAGAGATCTCATTTCCTTATATTTCAAAATTATGATTTTTTTAGTTGTTGAAATTGATTGAATATCAGTCTTTTGATTGATTTTTTGAAGATTAAATTTTTTTTCTATTGTTTCTGTATTTTAAAGATGGCGTCAAAAATGTTTCGTTCAAAAATTACTGCTCCATGTATATATTGTGGCTAAATCCCTGTTACGAGATAAATCAGTCCTCATTTTCTTTATTTAATTTTTCCTGTTATTTTTCTCCACTGTTTCCTATCTCTGGTTTTTTCTCTCCATTGCCGTACGCCCGCCCACCCCAATGAGATCATTTGTTACTTCTTGTAGCCATGTAAATCTTGGTCTTCCACATCTTATTTTACCAGCTGGTGTCCATTCCAATATTGAAAATATTGTCGTAGATGGTCCTGATATCCATATATGTCCTAGCCATTTTGTCCTTTGCTGTTTTATTTTACAAACTATATCCTCTTTAATTTCGTTTAGTAGTTCATGATTTGTTCTTTGTCTATATTGGTTTTCATTAATTTTTATTGGTCCTAATATTGCTCTTAGTATTTTCCTTTCTAGTATTCTAAGGTCTTCCTCTTGTTTTTTTTTTGTCATGCTAAGGGTTTCTGCAGCATACATCATAGTCGGTCGAATTATTGTTTTATATATCTTCATTTTCGATTTCTTGATCAGTAATTTATTTTTTAGAAATTTTTTATTTGCATAGTATATCTTATTTGACGTAATTATCCTTTCTTTAATTTCTGTTTCCCTTTCTCCATTGTTTGTTAATAATATTCCCAAATACTTAAACTTTTCTACTTCTTCAAATATATATTCGCCAAATCTAATCTTTTTGTTTTCATATTTTTGTCAAATCTCTTAATTTTTGTTTTTTCTTGGTTTATTACTAAGCCCATTACCTTCCCTTCTGCTACCAATTCTTTTAACATACTTTCCATTTTTTTCTGTTCTTTGTTATTATCAGAATATCGTCGGAATATGCTATTATTTGTCCCTCTCTCGTTCTAAGTGTACCTTTGTTGATTTTTCTGACTATGTATTCCAGGGCAAGATTAAAGAGAGTTGCAGATAATGATCTTCTTGACGTACACCTTTATTTATAACAAATTCTTCTGTGTCTCCTTGTTGTGTTTTTACAGTTACTACGGTTTTGTTCGTTGTCATTTTTATTAATCGTCTTAATTTGTTGTGTATTCTCATTTCTCTCATAGCTGTAAGTAATTTCGCTCTGTTTATTGAATCAAATGCTTGTTGGAAGTCTATAAAAAGCAGTTCAATGTCTATTTTATATCCATAAGCTTTCTCCATAATTTGCTTTACCGTATGTATGGTATCTGTTGTTGACTTTCCCCTAATAAATCCGCATTGACACTGTCCCATGATATTTGTAGTCGCTTCGGCCAGTCTTCGTTGTATTAAGGTTGACATGATTTTATACGCTGTCTTTAATAATGTCAGTCCTCTATAATTATTACACATTTGTTGGTCTCCTTTTTTATGGATTGTGATAATTTGTCCTTTGTACCATTCTTCTGGCATCTTTTCTTCGTCCCATATGACTTTTATTAATTGGTATATTTTTTCTGAGTTCATGTCCACCATATTTTATAAGTTCCATGTTTATACCGTCTATACCTGGTGCTTTACCGTTGCGACTACTGTTTATAATTTCCTCAGGTTCATCTTTCGTTGGTTTTTCTAGCTCGGTTTCTATCATCGTGTTCTCATCTTCCACGTTTTCATTTAAGTCTTGGTCCTCTTGTACTGTTAATAATTCTTTAAAATAATCAGTCCATATTTCTTTAAACTCTTTTGTCATTTTCTGATACTTTTCCATTTCTATCCTTCATGCCTTTTATTTTTCCTTTAAAGGTTTTGTTCTGCTCGCTAATTTTCTTATAAAATGCTTTTGTGTTTCTGTTTGTGTTTTCTTTTTCTATTTCATTTATCCTATCATTTAACCAGGTTCGTTTAATTTTCCTTATTTGTTTCTTACATTCTGTCCTTAATTTGTTGTATTCTTCTTTATATTCTTGTCTATTGGTTCTGATCCACTTTTGTCTTATTTCTATCTTCTTTTTTAACATGTTATGGCACACTTGATTCTACCATTCTTCTTTTTTGTTCTTTCTTTCTATCCCTACATGTTCAGAAGCTATTTCATTTATACATTTTTTTATATTTCTCCATTCTGTTTCAACATCCTCTGTATGTTCATAGTATTCCTTCAGTTTTTTGCTTATATCTTCTGCATATTTAATTCTTCTATCTGTAGCATTTAGTTTTTCTATGTACCAGTTGTCCTTTGTTATCTTGTTTTTTGGCGTTCTTTTGACTTTTTGTCTTAACGTTGCGGTAACCATGAAATGGTCTGTGTCTGCATGTGCACCTCTGTATGTTCTCACGTCTCTTATTGATGTTTGCTTTCTCTTTGTGATGAGTATATGGTCTTTTTGGGACCATGTTTTTTTGTCTGCTCCATGACGGATAGTTAATCTCTGGAACGACAAATCAGAAATATAAAATTCGAGAAGAATAAAAAAAATGTATTATTATTTTTTTAAATTGTGGTAAACTATCATGAAGAAAACTGATATTCGTCGGAGTATTTTCATCTCTGTTGTTTCTAGTAGTCGTCTCGTCTTAGATGTGTCAGGTCTTGTCTCCGCCGTGTATGTTAATAGAAGTCTAATTGCTGCTTTATAGATTATTATTTTTGTATCTTGTCTTAGGTGTTTGTTCTTCCAAATTGTGTCATTAAGTGATCCCGCCGCTATACTTGCTTTTAGGCTTTGTTGTCTTCAAATGTTGTATGAATCTCCATATTTGTTTTTGTGTACCGTAAAAGTCACTTTCCATCCTTTTTGTAAACTATTCCCAGTGTTCACTTTTTGTTCTCCTTACCAATTGCTTTGTTTCAAAAAATTTATTTAAAAATCTTTTACAAAAGGTATATAATTATATGTTCGCTAATATTAGCATTATTGGCATCCATGCTCCAACGGAAGAAAAAGAGGATAATGAAAAATACATGTTTTATGAGGCACTAGACCGAGAGTGCGATAAGCGATAAGTGCCCAAAAAAATGACATCAAAATAATAGCAGGAGACTTTAATGCCAAAGTCGGAAGAGAGAATATATTTTCGACCACCATCTTAAAAGAGAGTCTACACGTAGACTCTAATGATAACGGTCTCAGAATCATAAACTTTCCGATGTCTAAGAGTATGGTAATAGCTGGGACACGATTTCCCCATAAATATATACATAAGGGAACTTGGAAATCTCCTGATAATCAAACGATTAATCAAATAGATCATATAATCATCGATGCAAGACACTTATATACTATATATAAAGGATTTTTAAATAAATTTTTTATGATACATGGTATACAGCCAGCTATAGGAACTTTTTTTGTCCATTTTTCCAATTTTTGTCCAAAATACAAATCTTTCAAATACACGAACAATGGAAAAAACAGAAAACATTTTTTTGTATAATAATATAAAAGAAGTTTTGCCATATATAATAAATAAGATACACAAAAAATTGTTGCAAATGTGCCATGTCGCAGAAATACGAATTTTAGATGAATAAGTGGGATGACAAAAAGTGATAAAATTAAGAATGAACTTAATGATAACAATTGGTGCCAAAATGAAAGAGCAAAATGCTAAAGGTGGTTGGGACACATTCAACGCCGAAATGATAATCACTTATATGAAAAATAGATAAAGTTACTGCAAGTAGTAGAGAGAAAGATCAAAGAATATGTGATGGGAGGTGTTTAAGCAAGACATTTCTGCAAAGAAAATTAACATTGGTATCAGCCAAGAAACACAAATGAAAAATATAACTATGGAAGCCGATCCAGTAAAGAAAATAATTAATATTTCATGGGATTCTACACAAATTGCATAAAATCATACAAGTAACAAATGTAGATACCTACCACAGGCAATCTGAGCAGCCCAAATTTTAAATTCATAATTTGGCTTAATCCTTTCCCTATTTAGTTCAATATATTGGAGTATAGATCCCAGAGGTACCAATTCTTGCACCATTAAAAGAGATGGACCCAGAGACAGGCCTATAAGCTTAACTATGCATCGGTGATTTAGTTTCATCATCACCTTCGCCTCACTTAAAAATGCTTCCTTGTTTGTTTCCATTTGGTCGTTGTGTAAAATTTTTATTGCCACTTTCATTGGTTCTCCGTTTCTTTTTAAGTATGAGCCTAAAACATTTCAATTAAATTATTAATTTTAATTAATGTATAACAAACATGATTTTAAAAAAGGTTACAAAACTAGCAGTGTGCACAAAAAAAACAAAAATCTGTAATGGATAATATGAAAATAGTAATTAGTAACTGAGTAGTAAGAAGGGTATAATAAGAGTATGAGTAGTTGTATTTAGAACCAGAAGAAATATCTAATTTTTCTAGTAACCTATATTACACTTTTCGATTTTTTTGCCATTTAGCCTTTAATATCACTTTTTTATAACACTAATTCCACTATAGGCTGATTTCCTTGATTTATTTTTTCATTCTTCTCTTAGAGATCCATACCCATTTTTTAATTCGCACTCTTTTTGTCATAAGTAGTATATAATTTATTATAAAATTTGCTTCTTTTTCATTGTGTCAAGAATTATGTCTACTAATATAGGTTTTGTTTACTTTAACAGAAAGATGTTTTTGAAAGGGAGAATGATTTACTCTTTGTTTTTAATGCGGTTTTTCCTTGTTCCGATTATGGATTTTAACAATATTAGCCGAGCTAATATTGTTAAAATGACACTTGACGACCCTGAGTTTATTTAACGTTGCAGCCGTTATTTACCGTTCACGTTAATTTGTGGACTGGGGAACTTTTCATTGAGTCACCGAGAAAGGTGGTGAGCGGCTGGTGGCCAAGGCCCCGGGACTCGACTTCACGCAGAAGGGTGGAAGAAAAAGCCACTACCTGAGCGGAACCTCAAGCAAGAGATTATACCGGTGAATTAGGACTGTGTCATAAAATAAAAATGTGAGATTTGAGACAGAGAAGTTGACGCAGGTAATTTATATACTTTTTATTGTATACATACCTTCATACACGAATGCAAATTCTCCTTCACCTATCAAATTGCCCCTCTGTAACCTCTCCTGAGGGATGTAATTATTTTCGTTTTCGTTATAATTATTATTATTTGTCGTATTCGTTGTGGAAAAATCACTTGTAAATGAAATGTTCGCAAACTGACTAGGAAAATATTTGTTGTGTGGCTCGTCACCTTTAGGAAGAAGAACAGGTTTAGGAGCTACTTTTGGTGAATTTTTCTTTTTGTTTGGCTTAGGCATTGTTGAAAACTAAAAACAATTTTTAACAATTATTAAAAATATTTCGATTAAATATGTTTGCAATTTAAAAGTAAATACAAAAAATAAAATAAATATTAATAAAAGCTGTTACATATAAAGATACTATTGGGTTTTATACAAAATTAATTTTTTTTCTAATTGCACAGAGCTGCATCGTGAAACGGAATGCAATCGGTGTCGAGTTTGTTCTATTGTCACTATTGTGGAACTAAGCGTGCAGCTTATTCGCCGATCGCACAACGTACGGCATAGGAAAATAAATACGAACTTCCGATTGGTCCTAATTTAAACGTCATTTGCAATTACAAGTCACCCTGAAATTTTTACGTTTCATGTTTTGTTTATTTTTATTTTCTAATTACACTGAAGTAGTATTCAGAATTTTAAAAGAGTGTGTACTAAATAGAACATTGGCTTTTAATCTTACACAATTAGTGGATTTTATCATAACTCGTTATAAACTGTACTTGAAACAGTGAGACTAACAGATTTTGGCAATGAAAGATATTCTAGTTCTCTCCTTAAAAAAATACTTTTATTTAAAAGTAGGTATGACTTTTCTGTAGAGAAGCGATTCGATACACCAGACCTGTATAAACTTAAAAGTTTACAAGAAAAGCAAACAGTTGAAATCATTAGAGGAGTATGTACCCGTAGCCTATGCACTTACAGTTTGATGTGTATAAGTACTGTTACGATAAATTCTGACCCAAAACCGTAAACATATTTATTAATAATATTCTCATTTATTCACTAATATGTTCTAGATTTTACGACCCCTTCGACTACCTGCAGAAATTCCATGTACTAAAAAGAACCGATTCATTCGAACAATCCGAAAATACGTTGAATGAAAAACCAGCCGTAGCCTTCCAGTATTTTCGACAGAGGTCGGAAAATAGAGTTTAATAAATAAAGAGTCGGAGAGGACAGAAAAGAAGATCGCGATCGCGTTTTAAAATGTAACGCACGTATAGATAAATTATGTAATTATTAGTCAAATAAATTGTTGTACAGTGATTTAATAAATTGATATAAATTATCGTGTTTTATTAAATTAAAATAAGAACAATAAATTAGAATTAATAAAAACATAACAGTACCAAGAGGGATATGCTATATACCGCTAATGGTATTCAGCCACCACCAAAATGGTTTCGCTCATTGGAAAAGAGTTTAGACAGCAATATCCAAACACTTTCTTACTGAGATCACTGGCTCGCTGGACAGACAGATGTTTGGAGAAGAGCGTCTAAGATTAAAAAGCAAGTAAAACCTCCACAGCGTTATGTCAGATTGGTGAGGGGTGTAGGTAGCTTGGGGGGTCAGTGAGGTACCGTTTCCACAAGGCGTGACATCTTTGATCTTCGGACATGAGAACACTTTACTCCGGGAATCTCATGTCCCCTGAAGTTGGGATTTTCTTAGTTGTGTATCTGTGTCTCGGGAAATGCAGGATGGTGGTATTTTATTTTAATCCATGTCACCGTCGATTATGTCTTTGTTTAATACTGCTTTTCTTACGGTGCCTATCCGTTACGGATGTTCGCGATCAGCATGGCTATCCTTACTTTGCTTGCACCTATTCGGAATAATCCGGTTGTATTATTATTGTATTGTATTAATTTGATTATGTTAATTATCCAACATTTCTTGTCCATTGTACGCAGGACCTCAACATTAGTCTCACGATCCACCCATGAAATTCTTAAGATGCGTCAGTAGCACCATATCTCGAAGGGTTCGAGCTTTTTTAAAGAAACTACGGAAAGTGCCCAAGCTTTTTTAAAGAAAGTACGGAAAGTGTCCAAGCCACTACTTCGTACAATAACGTAAAAAATACATAGCATCTTATGACAAAGATTTTGGTACCAAGTGGTAAATCGTGGCTTCTGAAAAAAACTTCATATTTACGAACGCTGATTTTTTTACAAGGTAAAACTTACGAATGATCTTTGTAGCAGGTAAGGTGTATTTGTAATAAATAAGATTTTAAACTTCATAGTTTGATTTTTGCACAAAAATATAAAATTTTGTTAATATTACATCTTATTTGTCAAAAGAAGTATCTCGTTATATTGTTTTACACTTTATGAAGATGCGAGATTGTTTCTCCATTCATTATATTTTTCACTTCTTTGTTATATGCCTATTTTGATGTATTCTTCCACTGGTTTCGTCTTTCCTCCTATGCTATCTTTAATCAAATTATTGTTCCTAGTGGTATGTGCTGTAGTGCAATCTCAATATTTTCTCGCTCTTTCTCGCTTATCCTCTTTGTCTGTCGTAAAGTAAACATTAAGGGTCCGTTAATCTGAGAGGTACAGACCACATAGTAGTCATAATAATAATAGTAATAATGATATGAACCTGTGAACATCTGTATAAGATCTGACGGTAGAAAGCTGTGCTATTTTCGACGTCCAAATGCGTTCAAAAATTTTTGGGAGATACTCTGATGTATTTAGTCACGTAAGGCTCGATAACACGGAAAGAGTCCCACCAGAGCTCAATCCTTTTGATACCGTAGGTATCTGGGATGAGTGAATTTTCCCCTTAGAGGGAGTGTGAGCCATATGGCTAAATCTGAGATAATAACCTGTAAACATCTGTATAAGACCTAAAGGCAGAAAGCTGTGCTACTCTCGACATCCAAATGCGTACAAAAATTTTGGGGTATACTTCGACGTATCAGTCACCTAGGGCTCGATAACACGGAAAGAGTCCCATCAGAGCTCAATCCTTTTGATACACTTTGTTTCATTTAACTTAATTAAAGTAGCTTCTTTAAATTTTCTATTTTTACCGACTGTTTCTTTTAGGACTAGGTCAGCTCTATGCTCATTTTCCCATGCGAGCCTACATATATTTGAGATCTATTAAATTGTCTATATATGTCTATGTGATAACCCAGTCCCAGACGCCTAAGACTATTGTAGATGACACTGAATCTTTCGTCTGGAATATCAGTTATCTCGGCTCTTTGTGTAGCGTCTTTCATTCCCGAGAATAAGAAAATCTTCTAAACGTTTTAGCAATTTCAGAAAGTGATGGAGTCTTCTAAGCACGTGAATTTCTTTTTTTTTTGTAGTTTCTTAGTTTTCTTCTTACTAAAAGTGGTATAGATAACACCGAATCTTTCTTCTGCAATATCAGTTATCTCGACTTTTGTAGTTCCTTATCTTAGACGCCATTTTCTTATTATTTCGTCATCAATAATATTAAATAAAACAAGGTTCGATTTGTTTTCCTTGCCAAATTTAAAACTTGCCCCCACAGATACTCACAGAGCTGGTAAATGGTATTCTAAAAAAAACCTTCAGTGATAACCCAGTCGCTGGCGCTCGTTCCACAGCGATATTCGACGCCTAAATATTTCGGCAGAAACCTAAGGGTGGTATAGATAACACTGAATCTTTCTTCTGGAATATCAGTTATCTCGGCTCTTTGTGTAGCTTCTTTACGAGAAAAACAAAAAACTTCTAAACATTTTAGTAATTTCAGAAAGTTATGGAGTCTTCTAAGTACGTGAATTTCTTTTTTTTTTTGTAATTTCTTAGTTTTCTTCTTAGTAAGAGTGGTATAGATAACACCGAATCTTTCTTCTGGGATATCGGTTATCTCGACTTTTGTAGTTCCTTATCTTAGACGCCATTTTCTTATTATTTCGTCATCAATTATATTAAATAAAACAAGGTTCAATTTGTCTTCGTTACCAAATTCAAAATTTGCCCCCATAGATACTCACACACAGCTGGTAAATGGTATTCTAGAAAAAACATTTAGTGATAACCCAGTCGCTGCCGTTCGTTGCAGCCTAAGGGTGGTATAGATATAACTGAATCTTTTTTCTGGCATATCAGTTATCTCGGCTATTTTTGTAGCGTCTTTCTCGAGAAAAATAAAATCTTCTAAACATTTTAGCAATTTCAGAAAGTTATGGAGTCTTCTAAGTATGTGAATTTCTTTTTTAAGACTAGTACTCATGAAAATAATCAGAGAAATTTCGAAATTGGTCTTAAAAATACTGTCAAATTAAACTTAACAAAAATAATTGTTTTTGTTCATAAAAACATTCCCCTGGATGGCTTTAACAGTCCCCTGTCACAGATTTGCATAAAATTCTCCATAACTCAAAAACCAAGAGGAAAATGTATGGGTTTTTTAAAGATATATATTTAATTTACTATTGCCCTTCATTTTATGTATAGAAAATTTCCAAATAGCAGAAAAACACCCATATTCAGTTATATTAGTTATTATAAAATCACAATCACACACTCATTCACTTTTAGTTCTTCAGTCTGAAATAACTCACCCCCATTTCCTATTCTTTCTTTTTAAAAAGGTGTTCATTGCATATAATTTGTGTTGTAACAGAAAGTTAGTTAGGATTTCGCATTTTTCGTTTCTTACTATGATTCTAAAATCTCTGATTACCACTTCTTGTTTGTCCTTTCTTTTCTCCTAGTATGCTGTTAAAACCTTCCATTATCATATTGTAATGAATCAGTTATTGCTTTTTGCTCTTTTGATTTCCTCATAGAAGGCTTCAACAAATTTATCTTCATAATTGCGGATGGGAACACATACCTGAATTATTTTTAGGTTGTACCTTTTATTCAAACTCAGATTTATATACATAACTCTTGCGGAAATGCAGTCAATACTCGTATGTTTTTTTTTATAGTTTTCTGTGCATTAACAGATTATTCATTCAGTTGTCCTATTTATAGTGGAATATGTTGCCTAATTTTAATTTGACACCCCAGAAATCGTTCTCAACAAAGATTATTTCAAAAAAATTGTGCGAAAATTTATAATAAAAAAATTAGGTGATGTCCTTTTGAAAAAATGTCTTTACTTAAAAAGCATCTTGATGAGTTTTATTTATGTGGGTGACAAGATATAGCTATCTTATTAATTGTTAATATATAGAATCAATAAAAATAAAATGTCTGTAACTTACCTCAGGTACAGGTGGTTTTGGTTTTGGGGGTACATTATATCTTAGAACTGTAGGCAAACCATCAGACATTAGGCTATAGTACTCAACAATGTGTTCTAAGGATTCTAAATATGGCCCATCATCAATAAACAAATAACCATCCTACAAGGTACATGTAAAATTAGTACACAGAGATTTTAGGTGGGTAAAATGTGGAGGTTTTTAATGATCCATGTTTTATTTCTTGTTGACTATTCTATTATTCCTGAATATACATTGGGTGGCAGAATAATACAGAATCAAATAGTCTATATTAAGAAAGCCTTGGAAAACCTTTCTACATAAATAAAACTTGGCAGAGAAAAAATTTCTAATATAAGATATACAGATAAGACTGCCCTACTAATTGATACAGACAGGAACTTACAGAAAGTTCTTATACCAACTTAATAATACTTGTCGAGTGTTTGGAATAAAGATAAACAAGAAAAAAACCAAGATAATGATAATTAAAAAGAGGCGGAATGTTCCTTTACATATAATGATAAATGTGAACATATTAAAACAGGTAAACCATTCATTACAAATATCTTGGCTGCTGGATTAACTACAAACTTGACCCACAACAATAAACTTTCCTCTCTTCCGCTAAAAGATAATTTAGATCTTGATAACATACCCAATATTTTATTGAAGCAGTGTACTTACTCATTGTCAAAGCCTCTGTTGGAGATCTTTAATATGTGATTGTCACAAGGTGTCTTTCCTACTAGGAAAGAAAGTTTTATTATGATTATTTTTAAGTCAGGGGAGAAAAAGAATATAATGAACTATAGTGGGGTTTGTTTGCAATCTTCTATTGCTACGGTTTCTGATAGTTTGGTGAGTTCTCATCTAACTGGGCAATGTAGGCAGATAATTGTAAGTGAGCAGCATGGGTTTCAGCAAGGAAAGACAACTCCAACGAATCTACTTGAATATCAAGGCAAAATTGTTAAGAAGGCCTTTGAGGGTCCATGTCAGGTAGATGCTATCTATACTACTTTCTCCAAGGCATTTGATAGGGTGAACCATGTTATATTATTAAATAAACTAGACACAATATTTTGAAAGAAATTTAATATATGTCATCAAATAAACTACACAATTATCCAATATCTTTAAGAAATTGTAAAAATATTGACTTACCTTTTTTCGGATGATATAATGATAAAATACATCATCATTTAATAATGTCAAGACATCCTCTTTATTTCTATCACTAAATCGAACTAAATATGTTCCACTTATTGTACTGTGTAACTTAATTGTCGCTTCTGCTTCTTGTCTATCTAAGGTACTATGATACCATTCTCTGCGGTTAGTACTTTTAACAGTATATTTATAGTTTTCTGTAAAAAGGCAATAAACATAAAATCCTTCAAGAAACAAGTAGAATTTATATACTTACCTAAAATTTCAGCACAATCTGGATGGTTGTTTAACCGAGCTAATTGAGCAGGTGTCATGCCATCATTGTTTCTAGGTCTTGCAGGGGCATTTAAAGACAATAATTCTTTGACTACCGTTTTATGACCTTGGCTAGCAGCTTCATGCAAAGGTACTGCTCCTGTTTCTGTATTTCTGGCTTGAATATTTGCATTTCCGGTTTGAATAAGAAGTCGTGCTGTAGCAGGAAAGTTGTAATAGCAAGCATACTAAAAAATATCAGAAGATATTAATATGCTATAATTTAATAAGGTAATGTGAATGATATTTTAAAATATTAACCAGAGCATACATCTCTACCCCTGGCAGTGGTAAAGGAAAGTTTAGATGTACATAAAGATAGTATTATTATTATTTAAGGCAGTTAGTATAACATAAAACATTTTTTTGCTTAGAGAAAAATTTTTACATGTTTTTTTGGACAAAATTTTTTTTTGTCATTTGTTAAATGTGAGATCAAAGCTTTGTTCCTTAGTCTTCACAAAAGTAAAAGTTCATTGTAGGATATACCATTCTCTTCAGCCCATTAGAAACTCAGCTCAAATGATACATCTTTCATGTTGAGTTCTTTTAATGATTTTTCTATTGGTTCTTCCTTTGTACAGTACAGTTTGGTGAAAGAAATATCAGCCATTTTTCTCCCTATAAGCTGTTTGTTTTTAACTAGCAATAAAAAAACAAGAATCAAAACCAAATATTTCAAAAATAATCAAAGAAGAGTTTATGTAGATGATATGTGATTGGGACTTATTTTGTACAATATAGGAATTTTAGATCAGTCTGGCAACAGTGAGTAGTTGCAACCTGCAAGACCAATGGACTCACCCAAGTGGCAATGTACAAGGGGAGTACAATACGGATGTAGAAAGAGAGATTGTTATAATGGCGGAAGTAACATATATGTGTAAATTCCCAACTTGTTGACCAGTTTGGTTCAGCTCTAGATGCTGTACAAACAGCACATTATTTCTTTGTAAATTGTCTGTCTTCATTATGTAGTAGTTTATATTTATTTACAGTCAGTCTATAACAACACTACACTAGGTACATTGTAGAGATGTATTCCACTGAAGTGCTAAAATTAGTCAACATGAAAATTCTAAAGGTTATTTAACAAAATAAAATAACATATATTGAACATAAACATGCATTATTTGAAAAAACTATGTTAATAAAAATATAGATGAGCACTGATATGAAATATTTATATCAGACTATAAAACTACTTCTATATACATAATTTAATAAAGTGAAAAACTTACATGTAGAGGTGTAAATCCAACAGAATCTCTAAGATTGACACTAGCTCCACATTCAATTAATTTAAGTAAAATGTCATTCTGTCCATTCATACTGGCAAGATGTACAGCTGTTTGTCCATCCTGGTTCTTTGCATCCTGTGGATAATCTGTTTTTAGAAGTTCTTTCACAACTGTGTAATTTCCTTGCCCAGTAGATCGATGTAACAAGTTTGTACGTCCAAGTCTCCTAGTATTAGGAGGAGGCGGAAATTTTTCTATATATTCTGTGAGGACTAGATTATTTGAGAGCAAATTTGGGTTAACCTTGTAATGATTTACTAATACTTCTAGGCCATGGAATGTTGGGAATTCATCTAAGATAATAACAATTTAATAAGTATCTACTATGATTTAAAAATATATTAGATTATAAAGCATTTATAGCACAGATAATACTAATTTAGGCCAAATTAATCATTATATATTTTATTTAATATGTAATAATATAAAATCATTTAAAAGAAACATGTGCAAAGTTTCCTGAAATGAGACTCCAACTCAAGATGTTAGGGTTAATTAAACATGTATAAAATTCATAAACAAACATTTCATAAATATGAAAAAATATTTAATAAATATTTCCATTTTATCATCAGAGATTAAAAATCAGTAAGTTTTATACTATTAAAATGTTTGTAAATTTATTACCAATGGAGAAGAAAGCATCTTCAGCATGTCTTCTGATTTGGAAATGACTAACTTGATTATTATGGAAAACTGAAAGAACATAATCTCCTGTTGAAGTATTACTTTCACGCACAAGAAATAATCCATCCTTCTTGTCATCTAAAATCATTATTACTTATGATACCACAATTTATATCAACCTGTTGTCATTGTTACCTTGGGATAAAATTTTCTCAGCTTCTTCTCTACTTAATCTTCCATGATACCACAACATATCCTCAGTTGTTCTATTTGGTCTATTCATTATTTATTTTAATTTAAATCCCATGGATTAAATATTTTCTAATCTACTTACAACCCACAAATAAATATTATGAAAACTACTTCCTTGTAAATTGCAAAACAACAGTTGACAAGTGTCAGTGTCACAGACAAGTGTTGTCAGTTTATACGTCATTGGCTGTGGATAACAATGACGTATAATATATATTATACGTCATTGGTGGATAACATATTTTTCCTATTTACAATAATCGAGAGTCTGAAACGAATTATCGGTTCAAAGTCTACAGTAGGTTTTTTAAATTTTAAATTTAAATTTAAATTTTTAAATTTCAAATAAATATATCAATTTTGAACTCTCGTACACCCTTACAACAGGCTAAAATATGGTTAACATTGAAACAAAATAAAAAATAATTGTTTTTCCATAACTAAAACAAAACTCATCAAATATTTGCATAATCTTTTGCAATTTGGTTTGGACAGAAGCACTAAAAATCCTCATGAATGGTAGAATTTTTAGATTCAACTCAAAACCACCTTTGCAAAGTAATTTTATCGTATGGGTCGGATTATAAGAGCAGATTCTTTAGTACTACTTATGAAAACACCATAATCATGATATGTACCTACATTTTATGTCGTTTAGATTAACTATTCTAAAGAAAATTTAAAAGGTATCCTTGTTAATTGCCCCCTTATTATTATAATAACCATCTATTGAATCTTTCGATTTGGTTGAGTTTGGGTAAAAATAATTTTTGATTGTGTGATTGGCACAAATTTTTAAGGATTGGCATCTGACAGATGACAGTTGACAGTTCAAAATTTATGTTGGCAAAACAGTAAACTATTCCTTCCTTCTTATTAAAACTCTCTTTAGAGAGGTGTGGATATGAAATAAATCTTAAAAAATACAAGGCATCCCGTAAAAACGTACTTTTAACAAAAGTGAGGAAATGTTTTTTATTAGTAAATTAACATATTTTTTCTTATATTTTCAAAAATAACTTATATAAACAAACTTAAAATTTTTAACTTTTGTTAAAAGAAGACTTGATTTTAGGTTTAAAAAATGGGCCGATACGCACGTGAGCCAGAAAATGCTGCAAAATCTTGCAAAGCAAAAGGTTCAAACTTAAGAGTACACTTTAAGGTAAGAATTTGAACTATATACAACTAAGGACCACAATTGGACATAACCTGTCAAATGTATATTTATATTAGTAATTCACCTCCATGGTTTTGTAGAACACATGTGAAACTGCAAATGCAATTAGGAAGATGCCTCTCAAAAGGGCCGTAGCATATTTAAAGAACGTAATAATTCAGAAGGAGTGTATTCCATTTAGAAGATTTAATGGTGGAGTAGGTCGTTGTGCCCAGGCAAAACAGTTTGGTACCACACAGGGAAGATGGCCTAAAAAGTCAGCAGAGTTTCTTTTACAACTCTTGAGAAATGCTGAAAGCAATGCAGACTACAGTGGACTGGATGTAGACAGATTAGTAGTAGAACATATTCAGGTAAATATTTACACATTTCTTAATTCTATACAAGTAATGTCACAATTTTTAAATATGTTCAAATCATATCCTTCAAGGGATATATTGATGTATGAATGTCATTTAAAATAAACAAATTGTTTAAAACTAAACATATTTAGTATGCTATGTTGAATAATGCCTTTAAAAATAATAGTCCATATTTTTATTCAGATTTAGTTTGAAGTAATGTCGCATAATTTTTAAATCTATGTAAATCGTATCCTTTAAGGAATATGTTGATGTATGAATGCCACTTAAAATAAACAGGTAAAGGAACTGCATAAAACTTTGAAAGCAAGTTTTTGGGTGCCTAAAAAATAATGTATGGCCTAAAATAAAATAAAAATAACAAAATATTAAATATGGATAATTCTTTACACAAACAAATATATTGAATCCAGAATAATCTGTTTGGCATTGTTATCTGTACATCAGTTAAGTTGTCTTCTTCTATTGTTTTAAAACAAATTAATTAATAATAATTTTTTTCAAATTTCAATCTAAACCTATAAGTTTCTTTTACTATACAGTTCCAATGATCATACGATTTTTGGGGGGGAAATTCTCTTTGGAGGGAATATTAATTGTTACAGTGTAGTCCATTTTTCATTTACCATTAAGCACAAACTATGCTCAGCTCAGAATCAGCTATGATCTAAGGGTCACTTATTAAAATAGTCAAGTTAGGATGTTTTTCACATTTGGTCCCAGTGAAGATAGCCTCAAATGGGTTTGACAGAATGAAATATTGGTGTTTGGCAGTGTTGAAATGGACCGCAGGAGTGTGACGTCACATTGTCATTATTACTTTCCAAACAAACGTTGAAATGTCAAATCTCAAGACTTTAATTCCTATAAAGTTAACATTTTGCTTCCTCTGCTGCTTTTTCTTGTAAGTGTTTAGTGTTTTTACGATAATACCGTCATAATTCAGAGTTCTATTTCTATGAAATATGGTTTAAAAGTTTAATTAAAGAAATTTTAACCTTACTTTATTGATACTTTCATTTTATTCCTATTAGCATAAAACAATGTGCTTTATTATTTACACAACCTTGTAAAATTGTTGTAGTAACTATTAGAATACTTAAATATTGCAAAAAGCGGAAAGATTCTATAAAATAAATGAAAAAATAACGAAAAATACAAATTATCCACACTAAACAAGGTTTGTTTGGAAAGTGAAACTGGCAGATGTCAATCAAATCTACGTCATCACTCCTGTGGTCCATTTACATTACAAATGAAACATACCCAATTAAAAGCAATAAGATATTTTAAAACAGTTCAATGGAATTTTCATACAATGAACATAACCTATTATTTGACATTAAATGTAAGCTTAATATATGTCAGTGTTGCCATATACTCAATTATTTCATACTCTCACATATAAAATTAGGGACAAGATTTATATTATATGAAATGAAAATTTAAAACAAACAAAAACGTAAAAAATACATATATATAATAACAAAAAATGTGATAAATACATATATAATTAAAAGCATTCAAATTATACCTGTAAATATTATAAAATAAAATTATATCTTTCTTTTAAAAAATACTTCTATAATAAAAAGCATTAAAATTATGCTTAAGGTAAAAATTGATAGTTTAGAAACTTTAAAAACTACAGAATAAAGTAAAGTTAAATGAAAATAAAAAAAATAGGTTAAACAAAATACACTAAATATTTAGCTATATTTAAAGTAAAAAATACTATTTTATGAATGCTTTTTAATACGAATTATATAGTATAGTTTAAAAACATACAGAAGTAAAACACTTCACATTTGTATTTAGGTATATACCTAAATGCAAATGTGAAGTATTTTACTTCTGTGTAAGTTTTTTAAAACATATATAATTTCGTCAAAGTATCTTTCTATTTTAAAACACCTATACTTTATACAAAAAAAAATATGGCAACACTGTGATGCACAAACATATAATTCAATGCAAAGGCTATGTCACAATACATACCCACAACTATGGGGTATGTTCATTGCCCTAAAATTCAATTTAGCCTTAAAAACTAATACTTAACAATTACCAAATAAAGAAAAAGTAAATAGTTTTTAACAGTAAATAGTAAAATGTCAGTATAAAAGTTAAAAAGACATCTATTGCAATCTGGCAACTGGTGGTTTGATGGTTCTGACTATATTGCCAAATCTATCCTCTAACATATCAAAGGGCAATTGCCAAAAAAAAATTCTAATAATTGCAACTAATATCAAACGAAACATAGACAGCTAATTTGAGGCCAAATGTGAAAATCATTGGTCTATGTCAAATTTCACATATTAGTACATAATATATAATTTACATGTTTTTTATGTTTATCTCAAGGTGTTAGTTATTTTTGTTCTATGTCATGTTAGGTGTTAGACATATATATTTAATTTTTGGTGCTTAAAAATTAGTCTGCTTCAAGTGATTTTTATAGTGCCAAATTTTCACCTCGATCCACTAGACCCCGATATTAATGCTGATCAGAAAACATTTAGTTCTTTCACCCAGTTAATTGATATGTAGAAAAATTAAATTGAATTTGTACTGGTCATAAATATTTTGTTTTTAACCACTTGCACACATTAATTTTAAGTTTACTGTAAAAAATTATCATTTTTTTATTTCATTATATCCATATATATCTATATTCCTTATTAAAAAAATTATTTTAAGGGGTTTGATAAGTGTATTTTTCGTGACAAGGGTGTATTACAAATATATAATTTTTTTAGTATGTATTTTCAATTTAGTAATTTAAATATATTTTTTAATTTAATGAGAAAATTTAAAATTTGTGTATAATTAAAAGCAAAAACATATCAAGAGCATAGAATTATAGAAAGGGTATAAAAAAAGTGGGTCAGAAAAGCTTATAATGTGTTTGAATAATGAAAATAAGGTAAACTGCAAATGTAACACAATAATATCTACTATCTGACAGAAACTAAAATAGTCTTAAAGTACAGCTATATCTAAAACTCGAAAGTAAACTGTGTAAAGGACAAAAAATAGTAATTATTATAATACTCAGAAAAAAAATAACAATATAAAAAAATAAAATAGATAATAATAAAAATGATAAAATAAATAATAAATTTGTCATGAATGGGTCAGAAATGGCCATAACATGGGTTTGGATAACGCTGTTTACAGTTGAATGTGTGAGACACTGGTAAATCCCGAATTTACCTGTAAGCTGCTCAGTATCAGACATTGGATAATGCATTAAGTGGTTAAACATGTTTATATTAATTCATCTTCATTCTGGCTTTGATATGCTCCTCAAGCATTTCTCTCCAGTTGTCCCTATCCATTGCCTTCCTCTGCCAAGCATGTATTCCCATATTTGTCATGTCTTCATTGATGTTATCAAGGAATCTTGTCTGACCAATGGGTTTATAATAATACCAAATAATAATGACCACTACTAGTAACTATCAAATCCAGTGGATTCCTTATGAAATGAGCTATGCTTTAAATAAATAAATAGATAAAAGAGTATACACATATTTGTTAACTGACAACGAGTTAAACATAACAATAATTCCTTCTGACTTTGCATTTACCAATAAACCAACAGATTAACTGTCTTGTAAATGTGAATGTTAATGCAATAAAATTCACCTCATTGGAATAATGATTACTTTACAATCAGCAATACCACAACTGTTACAACTTAGTAGCACAGGCACTATTATAATTTCTCATGTATTATTTGATGATGTTTTCATTAAAATATGTATTGTATTTATGTTTACTTATTTTTCAGGTAAACAGAGCCGCTTGTTTGAGGCGTCGTACCTACAGAGCCCATGGTAGGATCAATCCTTACATGTCTTCACCTTGCCATATTGAATTATGGTTAACTGAAGGAGAATCATCACAAGATGCTCCCAAAAAGGCATCACAGAAAAAGAAATCAACACTTGACAAAGTGAAGAGACCAAAAGCACCCCCAGCTGTGACCCATTAAATGTTCTATCTGTCACCTGTTAATAATAAAATTTGATTGCCACAATTAGTTGTTTTATTTTTATTTATAATTGGCTTGTAAGCAGTTTTCACCATGAAGATATGGAGAAGCATAATAAAATAAGTGGTAGTAAATAATTCAGTATTATTAATTTCTGTTTTGATTACTATATGTTATTTTTACTGATCACAAGAGCATTACTGACAGATCTTCATACAGTGCTCCTATGTTTAAAATGTACTGTAAGAAGAACGAGAAATGAATGATTTTAATTTCAGTTGGGAATAGTATTTGCTGGTAAGTGGTTCAAAATGTTACTAATGGATGCTTAGAAATGATAATTTCTCAATCCAATATATATTCAGTGGATGTAACTCTTCTTTTTATATAGACATGACTTTTAATCTCCCTCCAGTAAGCTGTTGTTGCATTGTTTTTGTGGATTGTCTTTATTTGTGGAATTGGTTATTGTCATTTGTCTTACATGATCATTCTATTCTACTCTTCTATTTCTTACTCAGTCTTTAATGTTCTCCACGTTGCATCTGTGTCATATTTCTGGCTCTGTCCCATAGGATTTTACCATCAAGTTTTCTAAGTGTTTTCATCTCTGCTGTTTCTAACATTCCTTTTGCCCTCTAGGGTTGTGTTTCTGTCTCCCATTATTATTGGTCTGTTTTGTAAATTCTCCTTTTTATTTCTCCATATTGTTTCATTCAGACTCTGTACTATTCACTTGATCTTCCACTTTCAAGCTTTCTGTAGGTAGAAAATTGATATTTAAACCTTAACAAGTTCTATTACTTGATCTTACAGCTTCAATTTATATCTTAATAAATTCGCTATTAAAACCATGCATTTTATCTTTTTTGGGGAAATTAACATGTTAAATTTTCTGGTGGTTATATTAAATTTGTACAGCATACATTGTAAATCATTTTCACTTGAGAGTACTGCATCGTCAGCATATCAGATTATTTTACATTGTTTTTCTATTTGGTATTCTTTTTTATTTCATTCATAATCAGGTTGAACAATAGAGGACTTAGGGAATCTCCCTGTCTTATCCCATAATAAGTATATGATGTGAATATTGATTGCCAATATTAAATTTATTATTATCCCCTGTTGAGTAATTCATTACCTGGTACAAAAATCTAGGTTTCTTAATATCCAATTTTTAATTGTGAATGTTTATTTACTTTATAGAAAATTGAGTACAATATGGACAGTGTTTTGCAACAACTGTCTAACCCACATTTGTTTAAAAATGAGGTCAGACTATATGTTCATAATGCATACTACATCAACGAAAAATGATATAAGCCATATCCATACTCATGGAGGCATTTGTGAACTAAGTTCTAAACCACATGCGTCAAATAATGTGAAAACAGAAATTGTAAAAATAGTCTAACCCATGTTTTCATTATAAATATGTGGGTTAGATGATTTTTGCAAATCTTCGTAAGTCTTTTTATTGTATGCACCAGATGCAAAATATTAAATTGAACAAATCTTTATTTTGACTTATTAAAACAAGAAATTTATTATTACGCTAATATTAGGTACAATTTTATTTAAATAAATAAAATTTCACCAAACTAGAGGCTTTATCTTTAGTGGTAAAATACGGAAGTATATTTTACTTTTAAAACTGAATTTTCTGTGTTGTCAGCTCGGCAATTATTGATTAAAGAAATTTTTAAATTCCTTTTATCACAGATAATGTACCGAAAAGGTAATATGTTTTGTGATTACTCGAATGTTGGTGCCATAAATGCTGACAAAAAATTGCATTATCAAATAACAAAACCAGTTGTTCATTATATAAAATTGTTGCTTGATAGTCAAAATTCCGGTCACTAAAATATTGTAGTTATTATTTGGCAGGAATTGGGTTAAGTCCTGATTTTGAGATTGATCAAGATTAAATCGAGTAGAAATTTAATCAGTAACAGTTACTTACTATTACTAATGAACTCGAATTAGAAGTTTTTTTGGGTATTTACCATTTTGTAGGGATAGAGGGTTATTGCAAAATGACCATTTATATTTTTACAATTTTGCAAAAGCCGTCTAAGCCGCTTTAAGTTATTTTTGCAATAAACTGGTTTTACTTTTGTATGTTTTTTAGGTAGCCTGTAATTATTGAAATATAAAAATGTGAAAATAAAGTCTTATTTTCTATCAGTGAATTTCTTAAAGTAGGTAGACACAATATGCTCATTTACTCTGAAAACCATATATGTATATGTAGCTAGACTATTATTGCAGAACACCATCCATATAGAATTTAACTATGATTTTCCACTGAAGATAATTTAAAAAATATCACAGGGAAAATGTACCCCATCTACCAATCAAAATAAAGGTCAACAGTAAGAGAAAATGTAACTGATTAACGCCCGATTTCATAATTATTTTAAAGTTGACTTGAATTTTAAAGTGACCTACTTTAAACTTAAAGTCAGCTCTAAAATGATTATGAAAACATGTGAATGTAAACAAAAATAAAGTAAGAACCAGAGAACATACGAACACAGAGAAGCGACACGAGGCCCGGAATTCGTGTATCTTTTCTGTATACGCATGACCCAAATAAGGTGCTTTACTGTCAAAAACACGTGCGTTTTCTTCAATTTTTAAATTGCTTACGATAGTCCGTAGGCATCTGTGGTAAACTCTCGACTATACAAGTGCATTTGACTATTTATCTAATTATTTAGTAGTTAAAAGTTTATAGTTATAGTTTATAGTTATAGTTAAAATATATAAGTTAAATATATAAGTGTATAGTTATAGTTTATAGTTAAAAGTTTAATTTATAAGTATTTAAAATGTCTTCTGGTTATTGTTGTGCGTTTCGCGGATGTTCATCTGTGACAGGAAAAGGAATAAGTTTATTTAGATTTCCTAAGAATTAATAACAGGTAATTACTATTGCTTTGTAATTATTATTAGTTATTACATAATAGTATTAATTTGACTTTGAGTAAGCCGACACCGACGTGTCCGCCCGAGCTCTCGTTAAGTGAAGCAATAAAAAAATAAATTTTGGTTTGCCAAGGGATAGTTCAGAATAAAAACCAGAGAACTACGAACACACATTAAATTTATTGTCTCCGAAGGCTCAGGTCAAAAAATCAACACAGATGTTGGCCTACTGGTGTGAAAGCGCTCGCAGACAACAATACGAATATAGTATTTTTAGGAAATAAAAATATATAGAGGGTTTTATACACGAGAATATTTGATTTAAACGAAACAAAGAAATTCCTAAAATACTCAAACTAAAAATGTTGGAAACATAATTAGATCGAAAATTGGGAAAATCTTAAAATTATAACAGAACAAGACTTCAAAATAAAAACATGATTGCAAATAAACAAACTTACATTAACATAACTTCAAATATTTGCTGTCTTTTTCACCAAACAAACTTACATTAAATTATGAAAAAACTAAATGCTCATCTACTTTTTGCTATATACAAAAGTTGTCTGTCAATGTTTAATTCGTTAAATATATACATGTCCATCTTGGATATACAATGATACTGAATGTATGTAGTGTATGTATAGTCGATTCGCTAATCTCAGACACAACTATCTAGTATTTTAGTAATTATTTTATTGCGAAAGTTAGTTACATTTTTACAGACTAGAACTGGATGACAATTACTATATTTACAACCAAGCACATATGCCCATAGCCAATATTAAGAGTAAACAGACATAAATCTTACTCCAATCAATCAATATTTATTTACACCGTTATATAATTCCACAACAGACAACGGAAGATTTGACCAATAATTTAAAGGTAAATGCTCCAAATATACATTTTTACTTCAAGAAGTTAAAGGTTACGGAGTACCAAGCAAACTTTAAAGTTTCATATCCATTGGATTATAAAAATGAAGTTCTCAATCCCAGTATCTGGCCTGAAGGTTCAATGGTTCGTCGTTTTGACTTCAAGTATAAGAATTGTACTAACCGCAGTTAACAACAAAACCAGAAATAATTGTTACAAATCCGGCTTAGGCAAACTAGATACAACAAATAATTTTAAAGGCAATACCAATCAACTAAAAATCGTATGTATTAACTCTGAATCTATTGTAAACAAAATAAATTGTATCCAAATATTAGTTTAAACTGAAAGTCTGGATTTACTATGTATATCCGAATCATGTGTAATGACAATAATATAAATTCGTTTTATCTTCCTAATGCTCTCTTGTAATGATTCGTAATACTGATTATTTTTTAGGTTATTAGGATAAAGATAATTTATTAGGAAATTCCACGACGAACAAATTATATCTTGTATCAACACAAGCCAAAAAGAATCGGTGTATTATTGTATTATCAACGTCAACATCAGAATAAACAAAAAAGTATTTTCATCTATGGTTCCATCAATACGATTTTCACCATTACTTTGCGTTGTGCGATGTATTTGCAACCTTTTGTAAATCAAAAATAATTACACCATTTAGAATGTCAACAAAAGCCGGCCCTGCATGTAATTATTTTTTCAGTGCAATATTTCATATTTATTGAAAGTCAACATAAATGCTCAATTTTATTTAAGAATTTATATTGTGTAATATGCCCACTGACTATTAAAAAATAAGGTGCTTTCCTGTCATTTTCACTCGTTGGCGGCTTGCCCACGCAAGATCAAAGGAGTGTCGCTTCTCTGCGTTCGTAGTTCTCTGTAAGAACTGCCAAACCACAGAACAGAAGTCATGTCAGTGTCACAATCAGTTTTAGTTCGTGCTAGCTACAAACGATCGGTCGATGTGTACATCAGAAAAACTGCTATTATATTAATAGAATATATTTTTTAAATCGAGCAGTGACAATTTAAAACTTATGTTTAAGAAAATTTCCAGTTTCTTTTTGTGTATTCTAGATTTTCGAAATTTGAGATTACCCATTTGTTGATTTTCAAGTTCTACTGTTCTACCATTGGCTATCATGATTCATGACACATACACTTCGAAAATATTTTGACATTCTTTCACTGTTCTTTCAAAGATTATGCATTCTTTTCAGCTCTAAAGAAAATATTTGCATATTATAATGTTAAAAAAAAATAGATGTATTTGTTATTAGTCTAGTAATAGTGGTTTGTAATTTTTAAATTAATGTTATGGATTTAAATTTCAAATAACTTATAGGACAATTCCTAATATATTCTTAAATATTGCTGAAAACAAAAGCAAAATGAGTCAAAATACAAATAATAGCGTCGGCAGACCAAACTTTTCCAATGTTCCCAATAGAAGCATAAATTTAATTAACATCAAACCGACCACAAAGAAACTAATAATAAAGAATCTAAAGAGTAAGTAACTTTTCATATATATGTGTGAGATTGATGTGGGATTAAACCACAACTGATTGGTTAATCCCATATAAATACAATAGAACATACCACAAGAAAGCAGTTTCAGAAGCTCTTTATGTTTAAGATTATAATTTATTTATTTGTTTGTTTTCATCCCAGAATTTGTATAATCATTATTCTACTATTAATGTTAGTTAATGTTAATTAGTATTAATAAATAGACAATATAGATTAAATAGGAGTCATGATAGTTTCTAATAACAATGTCATGGATTCTAATAGTTCACTTCAATGTAAGCTAGTTATGCATTGTTAAGAAAGAGATAAGATCAACTTATTGTGGACAAAATCATTCTCAAATAGACTTTTATTTCTTAATTTTATTTTCAAAATAACATGTCAAACATGGCTTCAAAAAAAAAAGATGATTGTAGAAGAAAAGAGTTTTTAACAAATTTCAACAATACAATAACTTGTATTTTTATCCATAATTGGTTAATATATTCTTCTTCTATGTTTTCTGACCTAATTACAGTTTCTATTTATTCTCATACATTTGCTATATCTGGGTCTCTTAGTTTTTGAATAGTTATTTTTTCTTTCTTTTTTCCTATCATCCTATTTTGATTGGATATTCTTTCTTTAAACCATGCCTTAACCAAATAATGATCACTATCTATGTTTGCTCCTATGAAAGATCTAACATATAATAATTAGCAGACTATATGGTCTGTTTGATTAAATGTTTCATTATCAGGGGATTTCCAAGTTTCCCTATGTATGTCTTTGGAGGGGAATTGTGTCACACATATTATCATCATATTCTTACACTCTTTTTACTGATAATGGGAGAAAAGATATTCAGTTTCTGTTTAAGTCTTATTCAACATATTCTGTAATCAATAGTCCTAAAGTCAATTATGCTGTGTTTAATTCTTCTTTTCCCACTAAGTCTGGTACCAAATTCGTGTCAAGTAGGATGTCCACTGTAGTAAATATTGTAGTTCTTTTTTTCCAGGATTCCTCCTCATTTCCTGTAAAACAAGGATATCTGCTTTGGCTGTATGCATTTCTTGTATGAGTAGAGCTCTAACTTCAGGATGATAAAGACTTAAATTCCATGTGCAAATCAAATCATTGTCCTTATTTTGTTTGCAAGTTTTTCATAGGTTAGATAGTCTGGCTTCTTACTCTATAGCTTTCATATGTGATTTTTTACAGGCTTGGATAGTTATCATTGTCATTCTGGCTGTACAACCCTGCATGAGTCATAACCTCCTCAAGAATTTCTCTCCAGTGGTCCCTATCCGTCGCCTTCCTCCGCCTAGCATGTATTCCCATGTGTGGATAGTTAGCCCTACACCAAACCCCGTTTCAGGGGACCATTTCACCCATCCTCGTCAGTTACTGACCCAACTTTCCACCTAGGTTAGATACCAGATCTCTAGCTTGGTTTAACAGGACATCAGTGTGAAATTATACTACTTTATACTTTTTTGTGAATCAGTCACATTTATCTTATCTTATTAAATCACTAATAACTATGCTGATGTTACCTTTTGTTTTAGGTGAGCCACGACTCCCTCCACATTATATGGAAGATACTTGGGATAAGCTAAAAAGTGCTGTTATTGCTATTCAGAATGCAACAGGAAATCAATATGCTTTAGAAGAACTTTATCAGGCTGTAGCAAATATGTGTAATCATAAAAATGGCACCCATAGTATATGACAGATTGTATGATTTAGTTGAGGTACATGTTGCCCAAAATATTGAGCAATTTTTAGCAGAATCTATGGATCGCCTATTATTTTTGAAAAAGATGAATGATACATGGTCTGCCTATTGTAATCAAATGAAAATGATTAGAAGCATATTTTTACATTTGGACAGAACTTATGTGCTTCAAAATTCTTCTCATTTGATGTCCATTTGGGACATGGGGTTGGAAACATTTAGTAAATATATACTCTTAAACACCCTTGTACAAACTAGAGTAGTTGAAGGCCTACTAATGTTGATTGAGAAGGAACGACAAGGTGACCAAGTTGATAGAACTCTTCTCAAATCCCTTTTGAGGATGTTGACTGACTTACAAATTTATGATAAGGCATTTGAACAGAAATTCTTACAAGCCACAGAACGCCTTTATGCAGCAGAGGGACAAAGACTTATACAACTGCTGGATATTCCTGATTATCTAAACCACATTGATAAAAGAATTAAGGAAGAGAGAGATCGAGTTATTCATTATCTAAATGATACGACTGAAAAACAGCTTATTCACACAGTTGAAAAACAATTGATCAGTGAACATATTAGTCAAATCCTACAGAAGGGTCTAAAGCAATTGATGAATGAAAATAGAATAAGTGATTTAACTTTGTTGTACACATTATTAGCCCGTGTAAAAAATGGTACTGCAGAACTGTGCACTGCTTTTAATGGGTATATTAAAACGAGAGGAAAGACTATTGTTATTGATCCAGAGAAAGATAAGTCAATGGTTCAGGAACTACTTGATTTTAAAGATGCAATGGATAATGTTGTTTGTACATGTTTTACTAAAAATGAGAAGTTTACCAATTCCCTTAAAGAAGCATTTGAACATTTTGTTAATCAAAGAACCAATAAACCTGCTGAACTTATCGGTAAGTATATCTCTTTTGCCTAAGAACTCATTTATAAGTTCAAGGAGCAGCTGAAACTTTCCTATCTCTAAACATATTTTATAACAGTGTTAAAGCTAAGTCACCCTGTATTATTGTAGTCTGTGCCTGTGTCATGTGGTCGTTTCAATCTGTCTCTATTATTGTTACACTTATGACTTCTCACTAAAGGGTTTTTTAATAGGTGGTCATAAATCTTGTTATTGTGGCCTGATTATGTCAATATAATTATATATACTGTACCGTTTTAAATAAAACGAGTGGTTCGAATTTATATAAATATATTTATTTATAACTTTACAGTTCGCTACTATCTTATTAACTCCACTACTCCTAAGATCGTTACATATATATACCTAAGTGACTATGTTCTAGAAAGTTCCCACCTCTCGCGTTTCCCAATTCGCACACGTGACCGATTGTTCTCTTGCCTTCGAGGGATCTATCGATCGATGGTTCTCGATGCCTGAGATGCTTCGAGGTGCAACCGTTAGGCGGGCAACGCTGAATGCATGTTCGTAACAATACTATAAAAATAATAATCTGTGTATCTTTACTATTTTCAATACCAGTTTAGTTGTTTAGTATCTTTTTTTGTCAATAATAATGTAAAATATTTTTTAGCAAAATTTGTGGATTATAAACTTCGTGCTGGGAATAAAGAGGCTACTGAAGAAGAATTAGAAAAACTTTTAGATAAGATAATGGTTATATTCCGTTTCATTCAAGGCAAAGATGTGTTTGAGGCGTTTTATAAAAAGGACCTAGCGAAGAGGCTATTGGTGGGTAAATCAGCCAGTGTGGATGCTGAAAAGAGTATGTTAAGCAAGCTCAAACAGGAGTGTGGAGGTGGCTTCACGTCAAAACTTGAAGGCATGTTTAAAGATATGGAATTAAGTAAAGATATTAATGTGGCATTTAAACAGCATTTGAGTGTTAACAGTCGAAATTTGGCACCAATTGACATGTCAGTGAGCATTCTCACCATGGGCTACTGGCCCACCTATCAAGCAATGGAGGTCAGCCTTCCATATCACATGGTGAAGTTTCAAGATGTATTTAAAGACTTTTATCTCAGCAAACACAGTGGAAGAAAACTTCAGTTCCAGCCAACATTAGGACACTGTGTATTAAAAGCAATCTTTAAAGGTGGAAAAAAAGAATTAGTTGTCTCCCTTTTTCAAACTGTCATTATTCTGTTATTTAATGATTATGATGAGCTGAGTTTGGAGGACATAAAAGCAGCTACTAACATAGAGGATGGAGAACTGCGAAGAACATTGCAGTCTTTGGCTTGTGGAAAAGCTAGAGTCTTGAATAAAATTCCTAAAGGTAGGGATGTTGAAGACAATGATAAATTTAGATTCAATAATGATTTTACGAATAAGCTGTATAGAATTAAAATCAATCAAATACAAATGAAGGAAACAGTAAGTACATTATTTTTATTTTATTCTATTCTACTGTGTTATATTCATTTTGGAAATAAATCTTATTATATAGTATTTTCGGGTCCTAATCTTTCACACTGGCTGAACAATTAAAGTTAAAGTACTAATAGTAGTAAGTAACTAAAGTTAAGTTGGAACAATTTGGTTTTAAAAAAGGGTTTAGTACTATTGACGCAGTTTCTTATTTAACAACAGACATTCAGTTATGTTTTTCAAATAACTATTACCTAGGTGCTGCATTTCTCGATATAAAAGGTGCATACGATGCAGTTAATATCATTATGTTAAGAGAAAAATTGTTTCAGGCAGATGTCCCTGCGAGAGAGTGTGTAATGTCTTGTGCAATCTTTTAACACAAAGAAGAGGTTATATAAGGTCAAATAACAATGCTGTAATAGGTCCCAGACGATCATCCACAGGTTTACCACAGGGTTCCATTATCTCTCCCCTTTTGTTTAATGTTTTTACAAAAGAAATTCACGAGGAAAAAAATAATTATAATATTATACAGTATGCTGATGATTTTGTTGTTTATAACACTAATAAAAATTAGAAGTAGGTATAACTGAACTCACGTCCCATATACAACTAACTACTTTGAAATTTGAATCGTTAGGGTTTTCTCTAACCCCTCAAAAATTTAGTGTTACCATCTTTACAAGACATAATCTACCCAATATTGATAACATAAATGTAAATGGTACCTTATATCCAGTATCAAATAAGGTAACTTATCTTGGAATTATTCTTGACAGAAGCTTAACTGGAAACCATTTATACAAAGGATACAATCAAAATGTTTAAAAGGCATAAATTTTTTAAAATTCATAGGAGAACATGGTGGGGAGCAGATCCACAATCGTGTTTAACTTTTTACAAAGCCTTTATTAGGTCGATCTTGGATTATGGATGTACGTTATATGGGTCAGCCAGTCCTTACATTCTAAAACGACTGGAAATAATTCAAAATATTTCCCTAAGACTCTGTTTGGGTGCAGTGTGTTCAACGCCTGTGGAACCACTTCGGATTGAAGCTCTAGAACCACCATTATTTTTACGGAGGGAATGGCTAGCAGAAAAATTTATTATTAAGTCTTTTTGTAAAAACCGTACTCTGTTAGATAAAATAGCCTTATTAAATAACCACGATTTAACTAACACGTACTGGTCAAAAAAACCTTCCCCTCCATTATGTATGGCTTTTAGAAATTTAAGTAGTTATAATAGTGATTTAAAAAGAACTATTTCAGTCGAAAAATCTGACTTCTTTGACATGTTGGAACCACTAGAAATTAATATTCCTGTATACAATGAAAATTTGTTGATAAGTAAAAATATATTAAGCAACTGCATATCAAATCTGTCAGATTTTCTGGAAATATATACCCATGCATCAAAACAAAATAGTGGTACAGGATGTGCATTCTATATACCATCAACAAACGTTCAAGAAAAATGCAAACTGAATAATAATACTTCCATTTTTTCTGCAGAAGCTATTGGTATTATTAAAGCATGTGATTATGTCGAAAAAAACAAGTTAAAAAAAAATAAATGTTTTGAGTGACTCATTATCTGTTCTTAAATGCATTGCTAACCCAATTAATGTGATGGCTACTGATACAAATCCTTTTATTAGAGAATTAAAAGTAAGAATTCATAAATAAAAAAAAGTCAATACGAATTAAAATTCACTTGGGTAAAAGCTCATATAGGACTTCGTGGCAATGAAGTTGCAGACTCCTTAGCCAAAGAAAGCGTTACAACCGGAGAGCATATCAGCAACAATTTAGGTGCTCAAGAATATTTAATGATATCAAAGAGTAATTTTAAGGCAAAATGGGAACTGCATTGGAAAAACTATTGCTCTAATAACCTCACACGATACACACTATTACATCCAAGTATTCAGACAGATTTTTGGCACCAAGATTATGATTTTACAAGAAATGATATTGTGACCATATGCAGGCTGAAATTCGAAATACAAGCTACCCTCAACACTTATATAAAATCGGTGTAGTCAACACCGAACTTTGTGAAACTTGCAATGTGGTTTGTGACTTAGATCACATTTTTTATGCTTGTAGTAAATTTGAAATACAAAGAGAAGAACTTATTAATAGTTTAATATTGCAAAAATTATACCCCCCTTTCAATCTACTTTATTTGATGTCATTAAATATGTACAAGGTATATAAAATTATTCTTAAGTTTATTAAAATGTGTAAATTAAAACTTTAGTGTAGGTATGTAGGTGTTAAGCTCGTTACCTCTGTTTAATCACCAAGTATTTTACCTTTTTACCTATACTTTCCGTGGTCTACACTTTCTGTCTGTGAGTCACCTTGAATGACCCCTAGGTGCGAAAAGTAATCCTAGTTCCTCTCCCATTGTAATTCTACTTTTAATTTCCAGAATTGTAGTGTATTTAGTTTAGTTAGATTAGGTTATTAAGTGAACGTTATTACACATTTGTTGCTGGCTAGATGGGCACTTAGCCCGATTGCCATAAAAAAAAACTAAAGTTAAAATAAAAGCTAATGCAGGATACATATTAAGAAATAACTCTAGGACAGAAAATTATCTTATTAGAAGTGATAAAAAGAGTCACTGAATAAAAAACTGAAATAGACCATTAGAGACAGGCCAAGATAAGAAGGATAAAAAAACAGCTTAAAGGCCAAGAAAAACCTTAGCGGTTTATATATGTACATACAGGATGATTCTTTTGGAGTTCCAATTAGATGTTTTATAGAAACTTGACATAATTAAGATAAGAAGTGCTAGGAGATAGATCTCCTAGCACTTCCGGTTATACCGGAAGTTGACTAAAACTAAAAACAAAACTATTAAAACATTCTTAATGGATCACCTTATATGTTTTGATGTTATTCGAAAAAAAATTGACTGGTTTTCTAATCTAATCTAAATCTAATTTACTTACCGCTGTACGTCATTATCATTGACAGAGATCGAAGTTGACATAGTTGCCAAAGTATAAAAAAATCCTGAATCCTAAACCAAATGTGGATTATAAAACAAAACAAATTAATATTTAGTGTAAATAAATAGAAACAAAACAAGAATTAAAAAATAATCTTGTTAAAAACAATTTGAGCCGCTTGTATGCATCATTATAAAGATGTAAAATGGAATACTTAAACAAAAACAACACTTTTTTCATTACTTATTTACTTTGAAATGTTTAGTTACAACTAAATTTTCAAATGCTTTTTTTCTTTGTTCTTCAGATTTATTTAAATTTTGGTTTTCTGATCGATATTATTAGTATTATATTATTATGTTATCGGTATTAGTTTTTACGGTCTGATAAATAGAACTCACAGTTGAAATATGTAAATTTAAAGCTGCAGCTACACGCTAAAACAAGAATGTTTATTTTAAGCATCTACAATAATATACAAAACATACATTAGTGGTGGGCTTCATAGTTCCTTTCTAGGAACTAGTTCCTTGGATCTAATTCCTAAAAAGGAACTAGTTCCTGGAACTAGTTCTTTGGAACTATAACTAACTTTGCGATTAGATCAGTATGATCAATCTTGATATGAATTGGATTGAGTGTTTAGAAATAGGTACGATATTCGACATCACAAATAAAATAAAAATAAAATATGGTAAACGATAGGAAACTAAATTCTAAGGCATTGGTTTAAATAATTATTTTTATTCACGAAAATAACGAAGTGGCCATCATCTAAACATAAGGAGATTTAACACACACTACTGACTGTACTCAAATATCATCATCAAAGTATTTTTGGAATAACCGCCATAATTACTCAATAATAATTCAGTAAATACCACCAAATTGTTTCAACTTTTTTTCTTCTCTTATACGAGACACTGCTACTACAGACAATTATAATAAATTAATCGAAGCACAGTATATGTAATATCCATATGTACCTACAAGTTGAAGCTGACAGCCAATGATCAAGCATAGCATACCGAACCGATTACGATTATCATACGGTTCATCGGCTCGGAACTAGTTCGTTTTTCGTTTTCGTCGATCGACGAAATACTTAAAGATGCAGTTCGCACAAATGACGGTATCAAATATCAGATCAGCAATGACGTTAATAGTTCCTCGGAACTAGTTCCATTTAATTTACGGAACTATTTCATTTATAATATAAAATGAACTAGTTCCAGGAACTAGTAAAAAAATCTAGGATGTAAACTTTTCCCAATAATCAAAAGCTTTCTTTTCTCTGTACCTGTCATGTTTGCACAAACAAAAGCTGTGACTCTTTGTTTTGAAAGCTTTAAGGATTCCCCAAACCGACGCGAAACTTTCGCAGCCGCAACCTATGCGGAATCGCGGCGAATCGTAAGGCACGGCGACCATGCATATTGTGTTCAGACAAGATCGGACGGAAACCGGAACGGTCACGGCGGAACAGCGTTGACGTTTCATGAAACGCTGCATGCACGGTTTTTCCGCTGCAATTATAGTTTCGCGTGAATTAAAATGGCTGTTACAGAAAAACTAATTGAAATTGTGAAACAATATCCTATAATTTATGATTTAAGGGACACAGATTATAAAAATATAAGAAAAAAGGATAAAGTCTGGGATAATATAGGGTCATTTCTAGGAGAAAATGGTAAGTTTTCATTATATATTATATACTTACGTATATTAATTTAAACATATCTTTACAACGTAAACATATTTAAAATAACATATTTAAATTACTTTAAACATAATATTTAAAATAATTACTATTAATTTATTATACTAATTATTATTATTAATATTAAATTATTATTTAATTACTTTAAACATTATAAAATAAAATAGGTGTAACTGAAATTTAAAAGCAGGTACCTTAAAAATTAGTTATTAAAAAATGTAACGAACTTTTCACGTGTTTCAAAGTCTAAAGACATTGCACGTCTTGGATCTCGACTTAGGTCTTGAAACGCATTTAGAATGTTCCGCAACGGTTTCGCGTCGCAAAAGTTTCGCGTCGCTGTGGGGAATCCTTTACACCGACACATTTTTGATTTTTGAAATTACACAGAAGGGATAATCTCACATTCTTGGAAGGAACAATGCCGCAAAGCCGGAAACGTATTGCACTTTATTCTTTATAAAATAAAAAAGGACAACCTACTGTAAAATTTTATGACGCTATAGACGAGGCTTACTTTATTTTTAGCTGATAAAACCGGCGTATAGGATGGGCCACCCTGTATATACATTAAAACCTAAATATCCAAATAACCGTTAAATTTAAGTATAGGAAGTAGTTGAAAAACAGTTAAAGTTCTTTCTAATAACGTCATTATTATTATTTCGATCCAATATATTATATACGGAATTATCCAGAAAACTGGAACATAGACTATTAAGCCGCGTTTACATGATGACAATTGGCGAGACAATTATCATTGGACAATTGTCATCACGTGGTTGCGGATTTTTGGAGGCCAGTCCAGTTGAACGAGATGTTTATACGGGCCAACTATTGCCATAGCAGTAGACAGCTACAAATAACACAAACCACGTGTATGTTTTGACTGACACAAGAGAACAAGAGGGAACTGGCAAAAACAAGATAGCACTACTGGCCTACACCATTCACACGGCTCCAATTGTCGCGAAAATTGAGATTTCGAGTGGTGGGGCGAATCACTGGGCGCAGCTCATTGTCCTCAGTCTACTCCCGGAGACAACTGAATTTTGAGCCAATTGTGAGGGCAGCAAAGTGTTTAGGCGAAGACAATAATTTCATACCAGTAAGTTGTCTTCTGACAATTGTCTCGCCAATTGTCATCGTGTAAACGCGGCTTTAAATTCGATAACAGTAGATAATATTCGGTGATGTATTTGACATATTTTAATAACATTTTTTTTAGTCTGAAGAGCAGAAGGCAACTGAAGAAAGAGTATACCAAGATAGACAATACCAAATTGATGCTGCTATTGTGCGCATTATGAAGATGAGGAAAACACTCAGTCATAATTTGCTCATCAGTGAGTTATATCTGCAACTCAAATTTCCTGTTAAGGTAAGCTATACTAAAATGTATCTTCGTTAGCTCTATAATATATGTATGTAGGGAAAATGGATCATTACGATCCACGAAATCCATTGAACCCTTTTCCTTTCCACTTTTAGAAAATCATTGACTATTCTTAGCTATTAACAATGTTGCTGGTCATTATAAAAGAATCTTTTTTCTGTAATTGCTTTATCATCAAATCTGTTAAGATTTAATTAGGGAATGAAATATTGATAACAGCTGTATAGAAATTAAAGGATTATTGTTTATAAAATATTTGAATGACTAGTTTTAGTGTGCTCTCAAGAAATTAGAACATGTTCTAATTTTTAGTACTGAATCGGCGCGCGCACCTAATTTGTAGATACAATATTTTTAGTGCTAAATTCAGTACTGAATTTAGCATAATGGCAAGCGGACCTAACGGAGGGTTAATCAAGTAATGATATAATGGTTTAACAATAACAGTTACATGATTACTTCATGTAAGTTTTGTTGGGGCAATATTAATTTTCATTCCATAATATTTTAGAACGATGTAACAGAAATTTTGCAACACTGTCTAAAAGTTAGACTCGCTACTCCAACATGCGTGGATTGTGTCTCACTCGTATTCAAACAATTAAGTGTTATCTTTGTTCAACATACTGAATAACGTATACGGTAGTTAAAAAATTGCCATATTTTACTCACCAATATTCACCAATATTTTATTATTTTTAGCCTGCTGATCTGAAAAAACGCATTGAATCCCTTATCGATAGAGACTACATGGAACGCGATAAGGACAACCCGAACCAATACAACTATGTGGCCTAGGTCGCTTTCTTTAGTATTATTCTTTAGGATTAAGTAATAATAGTTTCTACTAAACGTTTTTAAAAGAAAAATATCTAGTCCAGTTTTAATTCTGGCAAGTTTTATATTTATTTTTGGTTATATTGTATATTTTTTCTACCTCGAATATAAGTAACAAATACGCTATTTAGAAAATATAATTCTCACTGATCTTATTGTCTCAATGCATTTTAATTTAAATCGTCTGTATCGTAAAATGTTTCCCTTACAACTAATAATCTGATTTTATGACAACTATAATTATTGCAAAAAGAAGCTATAAAAATTGTATAGTTGCCAATTTTTGTAATCTAACTTTGGTTCTTAACAACATTGAAGAATGAGGAATATGTTTTGCATATAAAATTTGTTGGAATAACATGTTAAATAGCTTATAAAGACTATTATTTTTGGAAGTATTCGTTCTCTATTGTTCTTTTTTTGGTACAGACAAAATTGCGTTTTAGAATCAATAGACTGTATTTTCTGGTGACTGGATTCGTAAACATGTAGTCATTTTTCGTTCTTGGCAATATTTCTATTTTCAAAAAGATACAAAAATCAGGGAGACTTATGTCGGGACTGTCCAGAGGATGGACTAACAAGTCCATGTTTTGTTGAGTCAAAAATTCGATTGAATTTATACTCTCTTGGAAGAGCATGCTTCGATGTTTCAAACAAATGATTTTATATCAAGTAGCAGTGTGTGTGTGTGAGAGAGAGAGATGGCATTAGACAAAGAATCTTTTTGCCACAGAAAATTGTTATAAGGATGTTTAAATTTTTATTTTAGAATCGTTTATAAACTTGATTAGAATATTATATACAGATTTGTCAGAATAAGATAACAGATTGCTGATGTTAACTGGAAGGCTAATATTGAGATCAATTAAACCTAAATATAGTCTTCGAGTCTGTTCCCTATGATTAGAACAATCGAAAAATAAGTGATTCAAATCTCCGATAGATTTATTATTACAAGGACAGAAAGGAGTTTGATAGATTCCAATCCTATGCAGATGCTCTGGAAAGAGGCCATGGTTCAGTTTTAGCCGCGTTATTAACGAAGAATGTACTTTATTAAAGTTAAGATTGAAATGGGGAATATTTTTTGGTAAGCATGGGTGAATAGAAAAGTAATGGTTTCTAGAAGTCTTCTGAACCTCTTTATATTTTGACATCCATCTTTCCCTGCCAATACTCCTGATAATAGAAAAAAGATCTTTAAAGTAGTAAAAATTTGTAATTTCGGATATCTCAGATGTATTTTTTGCCATACTGTCCACCAATTCGTTTCCGATTACTCCATTGTGTCCTTTAACCCAGAGAAAAGGAACTGATTTGTTTGTGAATTTTAGATCATATAATAATTTTTTGATATCAAGTATAATGGAGTTTTGAAAACTATCTAATGGATGGCTACGAATAGCTTGTAATACTGCCTGAGAATCTGATACTATTACGATGTTCTCACAATAATTAGTGACACACCAAGAAAGTGCTTTCTGTATAGCAGCAGCCTCGGCTGTAAAAATAGAACAACATTCAGGAATTCGATATTTCTCAACATAGTTGCTGTTTGAAACAAAAAAAGCGAAACCAGTACTTTCAACAGTTTTTGATCCATCTGTATAAATTATTGTTAAATTTTCCCCTAATTTGCTTAGTATGGATTTGAATATCAGATTAGTTAAAATTGGCAAGTCTGAATAAGAGGGCATTATAATGGTTGGTTTGTCTATCAGAACTTCAAAGTCTTGTAAAAATTGATAAAAGATTCTGCAAGAGGAGGAGAATTTTTTATTCTCCAATAAGGATTTGTTAAATTTTCTGTCAAAAGTAAACCTATTTTGTGAACCATAGTTGTATTAAACGATCTGTACGTTATTAGACGTTTGTTGGCTAACATTTGCCTACGTATGAATAAAGGTGGTTCCTGGGCTTCTGCTAGAACTGCTTGGTTTGGTGAAGACATCATAGCTCCTAGACAAATTTTTATTGATTTAAATTGTATTCTGTCAAGAGTTAATAGATTTGTTTTGCATGTTGAACCGTAAAGAATACAACCGTAATCCAGAATGGATCGTATGTAGGATCTATAAAACATTAAAGAGATATTTTGATCTGCACCCCATCTTTTTTTAGAAACGAAACGCAGAAGGTTAATTCCACGCTCGCACTTTTGTTTTACGTACTTTACATGACTAGACCACAAGAGCTTTTTATCTAGGATCATGCCTAGATACTTATACTCTTCTGCTAAGGGGAAATTATAATCACCTATCTGGCATTTGCCTGTGACTTTTTGTCTACGTCTAGTGAAACATACAATCGAAGATTTTTCTTGTGATATACTAAAACCCATTTGTTTCACCCACTTATCTATATTACTAAAGCTAAGTTTTAGATTCAACATACAATCTTCATAGGATTTATGGCTGGTATATAAACATATATCATCTGCATATTGAATTATTTTGCATTTTTCATCCATCAAACCATGCAGATCTGCAGTATAAACATTAAACAATACAGGACTTAGAATTGAGCCTTGTGGGAGACCGTTATATAATATTCTTGGACCGTGTAATACATTTCTATGGTCCCGTAAGTATATTTTTCTATTCACATACAAATTTATTATATTTACAGATAATCTTTTATCAATACCGCATACCACCATTTTTGAATATAATATATCCAAATCAACCACGTCATATGCACCCTTTAAATCTAGAAACAAACATAGCATGAATTCGTTTTTTGAGAAACAGAGTTGAATATCCGTAACTAAATGTACGAGAGCATCAATGGTACCTCGACCTCTACGAAATCCATACTGTGAGTAGGGAAAAACTGAACTGCTTTCAATAAAATGTTCTAATCTAAATTTTATAGGCCTTTCAAAGGATTTTGTCACACATGATAATAAAGAAATGGGTCTATAAGATGAAGGAAGTTCTGGGTTTACGTTAAATTTGAGTAAAGGGCATATGATAATATTTTTTAAAGTATCGCTATATTCTTGTTTCAACCACCAACTATTAAATATTTGTAAGAGAACATCTTTGGCATTTGACGGCAATTTGTCCAATATCTTATAAGTAAAACCGTCCAAGCCGGGGGCTGTATTTCTGCTTTTTTTTAGTGCGAAATCTAGTTCTGAAGGAGTAAAAGGTTTTGACATGAAATCTATACTAGTGTTAAAGCGAAAAACTTCTTTAATCCTACCAACATTACCAAAGCAGATGAAGGTGCAAGTTGGTCTAACATCTGTTTAATGAGATTTTCAGAAAGTTGAGGTTTTTTGTTGTACTGATAATTATTGGAAATTGATCTGACGGTTGACCATATTTTTGAGAGAGGTGTGCTTTTGTTTAGACTGTTTAAAAAATTTCTCCAACTACTTTTTTTCTTTGTTTTAAATAATCGTCTGGTTTGCGCTGCTATATTTTTATAATTTATGTAATTAATATGATTACTTTGGGTTCGAAACGCTTTCAAGGCTTCTGATCGTTTTTTTTATAATGAGTGTACATTCCTCATCCCACCAATAAGGCCTTGGCATTGAAGGAGTGAAAGGTTTTTTTATGGGCATGGATTTGGAAGCAGCTAGAGAGATAGTCTGAAAGAGTAGGGCTGTCTTCTCATCGTTAGAAAGATTATTAGATGATAAAAATGAGGATAATTGTTTTTCTAAATCTGTCTGAAATAGCCTCCAATCAGCGAGGCAATCGTTCCATTTTGTTGATGGATTAATTAGGAATGAAGAAGGATTAATTTTAAGCTCTATTTTAATAGGAAAATGATCGGATCCCAATGTATCGGTATATACTGACCAGTTTATACTATATCAAGTAGCAGTATTAGTTCTTTTTTTTTTAAGAAACGTCAGGAACGAATTACTTTTGCCCCCTTTTCTTCACTTTGGAATAGCCAAGTAGACGACTGGTCTTTAATTTTTGGCCCATATGAGTAAATCCACAACTTTCGCCACTCATGATATTTTTCGGTCAACAGATTCGGTATCCTCTAAAATTGTTTGAACTGAGATCTTTTGGAGAAAACCAACTTAAAATATTCTGCTATGTAGACGATGCAATACTACTCTCTCCAAGTGAAGATTATTTACAACGTATGCTGCACCAATTTAATATAACCACCAGAAAATTTAGCATGTTAATTCCTCCAAAAGACAAAATGCATGGTTATAACAACAAAGGCTATAGCGGGATAAGATGGTCAAAAGTGCCCCCGCACCGATCAGCACCGCGACTTGTGCTTTCAATAAAGCATATAAAAACATTACTTCATACAAATTTTTAGCTTCCCACAGCCCATGGAACCCCTTAAATGTAAAAAAGAAGCTTTTTTCGACTTTATTTTTTTCTGGGCGCAATTTTGCTTTCAAAAATCTGAAAAAATTCATGAAGATGTATCTTTTGAATACAAAATAGCCTGATTTTTTTCAAATTTTTATATTGAAAATTGAGCTCAGGAAAAATCATTGAAATTTTTAATAATTTTTTAGGTTGTGTTAATAAGTTTTAGCTAAGTTTTAAATAGTAATTTTTTATGTATTTTTTTTCGTTCTTTGAAATGGCCAAGACAGAATTTTCAATTTCTGAGCGGAAAGAATCGACAAATCAAAAAAACTGTTTTTACTCATTTATTTGCGCATAACCTCAAAACTCAGTTGGTAATTCAACATGTTTAAACATTTTTTCTTCCACATTATCAAAATCTATTGTAAAAGTTCCCATTTTACTCTTTCATAAAAATAAAATTCGAAAATACGTTTTTTATCCTTTTCGCACTTTTTTAACCTTACCTCAAAATCAAATAGATATACAGATTGAACGAAATAAATTCGGAACATAGGAATATAATGTATTTCGGCTCAATTCTGCTGTAGGTGGCTGGCCAACAAAATATTGTCAAATAATTATATTATAAAAATCCAATACTTCAGCGGGCTGCTGGATTCTGAACTCATAAAAATTGAAAGCTACACATAAATCTACGATTTATGCTGTCAAACCAGTTATAGTCCAGGAAATGAAGCATTTCAGCTCGCAATTTTTTCGTGCTCCCTGGATTGACTTGAAATTTAACAAAAGGTAGGTAATAGCCTAAGGATCAAAATCTATATCGAACCAAAGTGCGCCAAAGCC